GATAACCGGCAGAATAGATCAACGAAAGTAACTAGTAGGACATTCTACGCAGCCAATCTTGCGTTGACTTTTTCGAGTCGACCAGTGGTATCTACTCAAACGAAGGATAAGTTACATAAGTTGGCCTCCTTAATGTGTATTTATAAATACAGCTACTCCTGTGGAGATAACCATATCGGGCGAAACTATGTAACTTAACTAACGAATGAGTGAACATCTCCCAGCATGTTTTAAGAAAGGCCAGATAAAAATAATGCGCAGTTCTATCTTGGCACATCTGATTGATATTGGTCATAACGTAGATAAATCTGAATAGTTTCGAGTGATCTGTCGTATACCTCCATCATTTACCAATGGAGTTCGACCCCGCCTCCTACATAGAGCAGAAGCCATGGTAATTCGTACATTCAACCCCAATTTATGTGTTCAGAAGAAATTCGTGAAACCCCTATCTCTTGCTTGGCCGGATATAACTTTAACGATTTTAAAAAATTTTGTATTTTTTATTTTCTTTTTGTTAGCATTAGTATTATTTTCACATCCTGTATTTGTTAGTCATTTTCAACCTCTTTTCGCTTATAATCTTGACTATCTAATTAGGAACACACTTCTTATTAGGTAATGGTTTTAATGTGTTGTAAAGAATTATTCTGAATCTGTTTATCCACGTCTGACCTACTATTTCCAATGCTGACCTATTGACTAACTATTGTTAACATATTTTATTATTCTGACTACTACCAGTACACCTCTGTTCCTACTAACTGCTTATACTTTTACCCATTATGTATAGTGACATAATCTATTTCATTGTGATTATGGACTCAAGTTGCCTTGATTGGTTGAACATTTAGATACGAATATTCATGTGCATTAGAGTAAAGCATGATTTCGAACTAATTGAAAACAATATTGTTCGCGCATATGTTTCATTTTAATGTTCACAATGAGGATCTTTAATGTTTTGATAGTGTACCATTTTGAGCAGAATCCAATTCTGAAATGAAGTATGTCATTACACAGCATATAGAATGTACTTATGTTATTATTACTTTAAAGTATATATTATTGTAAATACATGATGAAAGACAACTTGAAGAAGAAAAATCCTTAATTCTACTTGCACCTCTTCTAATGCAAAGCTTCATTAGTCATTTGTATCAGTATTGGGTACAATGTGTACCAGTATAAAGTTAGAAATCTATAAAGATTGTCTTTTCACACGTCAGCATCGTGAGCGCTTACGAAATTATTCATTGACAAACCTGAACACAACACAATGATTATTTAACGAATCAAAAATACTCAGAGCTTTAATAAAACAACATGATTTCTAAATTTTTCAATTGTCTTCACTGAAATTTGCACTTCATTTTTTTGAATTACAACATTGATTGGGTTTAGTTCTGTTTTTTAATTTTGCACTTATCTTTATATAACATCACTTATAATAGTAGGTGAAAATCTTTTTTTTTCAATAAAACAAGTCGGTAAACAAAATAATTTTCTTCAAAGAATCATGCTGAATGCACGTATGTTTGGAAACTTTCAATTTGAAACCATTTCTACTTTCTTATTAAACTAGATACAATAAGAAAGACCACATTTTTTTGTTATCTATAAGAACTAGATTAAAAATGATGATAAGTTTTAATGCTGAAACCAATGTCTGAACATAATTTTGAATTCAAGAATGTTTCACTATCAGATAAAGTGTACCAATAGTAGCTGAAATTTATATGCATTCAATGAGTAAAATGTTAAATTTGTTTATTAAGGTTGTATCAAAAAAATTAAATAAATAAATAAAGGAGACTATGTACAGATTAATGAAGAGATTTCATTTTTATCTAATTTCTGTTTTTAATTTAATATTTTTTAAATATCAGATTACTAACAATAAATTCAAACATTTTGTTGAAATTGTTTTCTTTGTTTTTTATCTCTATTACATTTTTACTTGAAACTACACTGCAATTATCAAACTAGTCAGTCATTTCGACTAACGATCCTTGTCTTTACGAATTACCAAATGAAAGTAAATCTAGCTTTCATAATTTTAAACCTTATATTTTTAAATTTTGTTTGGATCACCACAAAAAAAAAGGATGAACCTTAACTTTCATCAACATGTTAAAGTTATTCGTCGATAGTTTACAAACATTTTTTGTTACTTCCATTGACATATTATTGAAATTTTCAAGAAAACTGAATTTTTTCTATCCAGCAAAAATGAACACTGAACCTGAAACATTGAATACTACTATTCCTTTAAAATAACTATTCGTATAAGTACGCATAAATACTAATAATCACAATTGCATAGATTCAATCTTACTAACTTCAGTCAGCTGACAACCAATATGAAATAATGTTTGACATAAATGTATAAAAACACAAACAACTAATCTTGTTTTTGAATACATATATTAGTTTCAATCAAAATCAGGCTACTAACAATGCATAATTCATGAATAATTAATATCAATATAACAGGAAACAGTTCAACTGTCGTGCGTGATTGATTATTCATATCAAAGATGAAATTTATTCATGCTCATTCATGCTTCTCCATCTTCGTACATTATTAACTACATTTGAATTTTCCAATATGAACTAAGTCAATGACGAAAATATACACGAGACTTAAATAAGCTCATCTTAGGGAAACTTGTTGAACATCATTATTTTTTATAGTAGCAAAAAACTCTTTTCATTATAAATTAATGCGCAAGTGTGCAGTGAATTAATTTAACTAAGTAATCAAAAAGTTCTTAGAACCTTTCGATAACAAGAAGAACAAATGAATAAAACCAAAACAGACAATGTGACATATCAAGTAATATTCTAATAAATCTACAAATTTTTATGAATGGAGTTTATTGAATCGTTTACTTTCACCGAAATTGCGTATTTTTGATCAAACTATGTATATAAATGGGTGTGAACATGAATCAACTGTGTCATGCGAACGTTTCAAGTTCCTTAAAAGTGAAAAAATAAATATCGCAATCTAACTACGTACTAATATACCAAGCTTTTCATTGATATGGTTCTGAACAAAAATCCATGTTTTAATTAATGCTTCACTATGTTTCTTATTTGATGTGTCTTAAAAATGAAAAACTCATGAGATTTCGATACTGTTCATCTAAAATTGTATAGCAAAACACTGGCAGAAAGAGCATCCGAAGACCTAATAATTATTTGACTGACCGCTATTTTTGTATTCTCACACTTCTTTCATTGACAACATCCATTTTCTTATGATTGTATGTCATTACATTGCCAGATTGACTGACCATATCTTGAACAAATAAGTCACTGTATAGAAAGTATTGTAAACCACACGATTTCATCGTGAAAATCAAATGCGAATCAATAAATGTAGGGATCTCAGGATATCGGTCTACTCAAATATACTGTTAGGTCGTTGAACCTATGAGTACACTATTTTATGATCAAAGATTACTGATAAAATCGTTAATCTGTACAAATTGATATGAACTATTTTTAAAAGCATAAGAGTTTGTAGTTCTTTCTAAAATGTCAGTGTCATATCAAGTAAGTACTCAGCTAAACATTTGCAGCTTGTTCCTATAAACCAATTTTATACAGGCGACTGAACTGAGAGAATTTGACACATCGGAAATATTGTATAACTACTTAATTCTCTATAATCTGTAATTAAACATGGCGCATAATATTTCCAATAAAACTAAATTTTGAAGCAAAGTAATAACACTACCGTTAAACCTGTGAATTACTTGCCACTCTTTGAATGACTCGTTTACTTAAGACAACTTTGTACTGTTCCCTTCTGATTAGAAAATTGGTAAAATTACGGAAATACAATAGCAGGAAACTTTACATCTAGCCACACTTATCAGACAAATTTGGAAGAAAGTAAAGTTTGTTAAAAAAAGAGACGAAGGACACAAAAATGCAACTATTAAGTAAGTTCATACTTTAAACACTTAATATGCTAAAACAATCAACCCACGTACATTTTCTGAATCATTTTTAAAACACGTCCAAACACTGATGGATCAAATCGCTCAATAATCAAATTCTAAGAAATTTTTGAGATGAGCATCATGTTTGAATTTATCAATCTATAAATTGCAGGTATTAATTCACTTAAAATATAGGTGACAACACACTATGGATTGACGGTAGCTTAATAAGACCACTAATATTAATATCATTATTTATCTAATTTTCCGAGAAGAAACCATTTAAATATAAACAATATATATTTTTGTCATTTTAATATATAAACTAATTATTTTCAATGAAACGGATTTACAGTTTACGCAAAATATATTATACATATATATGAAAGTACCAAAGATGTTTTTCACAATGAGCTGTACATAGTTTTTTTACAAATTACTGTAGTATACATGATGAAATCAGTAATAGATTAACAGGTCTTCAACAGACGAAACTTTTTGTTCGCATCCCAAATTTCATGAGTTAAGCTGAGAAGGCTACAGTGACAAAAGCACACATTAAAATGGAACTCCGCCTGGAGCCCCTCTAGGGCTACTACTGGTCCCATGGCCGCATTAAGGAGGAGGGTTGGGTATGGGGTTGGCAACCCCATCCCACAAGAAACTAACTAGCGAAAAAAAAGTGCTAACCAGAAAACATCATTCGAACTATTTTAACTCTGCTCTGGGATTTACAAGGTCTTCTTTCAGAAGAATTACGACACCTCATGATCAAAGCCCATTTCCTTCGGAAGTCACGTGACCGATGCCCCTTCTGACAACCACAGCAAACATTTATTCATTCACATTAAAATGGAAACATTTAGGCATTAAATCACAACGACAAGTTGATATGTAACTAAAAACGTTGTTTATTAAATATCTAATGATAATTTTTATATATATATACATTAGTACAAAATTGTTTCATTGATCTAATAATTGTCTTATATATATATATTACAGAAATATAAATCCCAAATTTCATTCATGATTTTTTTATCATTATATTGAAGTAAAGAATTCCTTTAAACGAAATAAAAGATTTTGTAAATCTTTATGATTTGGAAATAAGTGTAATGAACGTTTCGTTAAATTAAAACTTGTTTGTAATTCACCAAGCTGAAAAAGATAAAACAGTTATGAATAAGCAAATGACAAAATTGATTGATTAAATAGTTAATTATGGCATATTTTGTATTAGGTAACACAAAAATGCAGTTCTGCATTAAAATAACTCATGCCAATGGTGAATCATGCTATGGATAAGTTATGAAAGAAAAATAATTATTCAACACATTCGGTCAAAATAACTAATTAGATCAGATGATAGTCCAGAAATTTTCAAACTGATTAAACTTCGAAATTTTAAAAAGCATCCCTTACATTAGAATTACCAAATATTTCGAGTTTTCTTTTAATCTGAGATAGTGAGTACACACTTTGAGATGGTGCGGAAAATTTGTAGCTCATGTGGATAATTGTGGTGGTGTTTCGTTCTCTCAGCTGGATGTTTTGGTTGTGGAGCTTTCATTGTTCTTCTGAACAACATCATTAGCACAAACTTCAGATAGAAGTGAAGCATTCGAATTTCTCCACCTTTGACCTGTAGCTTGTTCTGCTAACCTCAATCTTGATTGGTTGCTGTTGACCTTAAACCTGTCGTTGTCTGCACCTCTGTTTTGATTGTATCTTCCTTTTGATCTGTTTCTTGATCCTATTTCACCTATGATTTTCCTGATTGATTGATAAATTGGGTCAGTGTCGATGTGTTTGATGATTGCTGATTGACCTGAGTGCCAAGCTTCTAAAAATTCTCTAGTGTTCTTCGTCCTCCCCCTACCCAGTATTTCCACATTGTTCCAATCAATTGTGTGTCCATAATTGTCGGTGTGTATTGATATAAGTGAAGCGTTGTCGTGGCGTTTGACTGCTAATTGATGTTCACATATACGAAGCTGAGTACACGCTGTTGATAAGTCCTGAATAATATAAAGGAACAGTCTAATACTTTTTTATTTCTAAGCATTTTCAAGTCTATGTTGTCTTTCAACTGATCTGTTATTCCCAAAACACCTGAAAATTTTTCTAAAAACTTTTTCAAGTAACATACTCAAATATTTGATAACGTTGCACATATCTATCATCTTTAAGATACATATCACCTGTTCATCATTTCTTGGAAGCAGTTTATTCTGTGAAATGCCATTTATTTAAAAGAAGATGGGAAAGTCTGACCAATGTCAATTTATTAGCTAAGCACTGGGAACATAGCTCAAGATACATTTAAATATTTTTTTGTCAGTTTTAGAGTGAGTTTCCTAGGTAGCATGCCAGGAGATATATAAAAGCTCATAGAAATCCTATTCGAGGATGTCAGCTTAAATGTTTGTATCATAGTAAATTTCATCTAACAAAAATACAATGTTCATCTTGTTTTCATAAACAATATTTCAATATAATTCAACTATAGACCACATGATGCCCGATTCATAAATGAATATTTTATCTATTATAGTCAATGAATTCATTTAACACCCACCGTTTCACCAAACTGCATAATCAGCAACGCTTAAGTAGATAAACGTTTGTACAAATGAAATTTTCACTAATTCGTAAAATGCCATTACTCTACTGATTTTTTTTTATGTATTCATTGAGTTTTTAAATAAATTTATGACATTTCAATAGTGAGAACACTGAATTGATATTTGAAGCATCAAAACTAAAGCTTTACTCTATCGGAACTGTTTAATTTTGAACAGATGAATAGACATAATAGTATATTGAATAAGAATGAAAATTTTATCTGCATTTTTTTTCAAAGAATAAAAGCAACAAACAGTAAATTTTTATATAAATTTATATTTGATTTACCAACTATTAAAAAATTTCCCATATTTTTGTTTGCAAGCATCAAATACTTCGATGACATTGAAAAGTAAAATGCTTCAATTAACAATTAGTAAGCTAGTATTTTATTTTTACAAATAACTTGTTTTACGCAATATATGTTATGCATCAGAAAAGTTGAAAAATAATACCAGTTTCAGAATTTTAGATTTGTAGTGTATTAAAATTTTAACAGAAATAATTTCATTTTAAACAAACTAATTCATAAAATACTCCGAATAAAAACAATAAATGGTTGTGATATTTCATTGTGTATGAAACTAAATTTTGGACAGTTTATTTAACTTTGTTTAAATCGTTTATTCAGAGGATAAATAATGTATACAAGTTTATTTTATCAATGGAACAAATCAGAACAACCTAGGGAATATGAACTTAAATTTGTTTAAATTTATTTGTTAAACAGGTTGTTTGTATCACATGGTTGCAAAATGTCAGAATGGCGCTTTTATTCAGTGCCCCAATAGTTTCATCTCCATTAGAAACAGTCTAGTCATATTGCACTTTATTGAAATGTTTCAAGAAAGATATTTTTACTTTTGTACTGAAATAATTAATCATAATAACGCTTTTTTTCAGAACAACCACTATGGGAACATTTATTGTAGAAGATTTTAAGCCGTAAACAACCATTTTACGTAGAGAATATTTGATTTTTTATTGACTCGTCAAGCGACTTTTGAAATGTATTCAAAATTCTCGATAGAAAGACTTTATAAATGGATTCATCTCTAGCATGAGTAAAATCAACTGATCGGTTGGAATGGATTTGGATCATTCTATGTCAAAAATTGAATGAAGTGACCGAAAACGTAGATTATCAGATACTGAGTCAACAGATAAGAGTTATCATCCTCATTATAACGCACCATGGTCATAGATTCAATCACCTGTCGGATCGAGATGATAAGGTTAGAAGCATTCAATAATTCATCTAATCTCCGTCATTTTTCGACGGAGATTGATTCCGTTTCCCATATATAGCAGAGGCTATAGAAAATAGTACCTATTACTTCAGTCTGTGTTCAGAAGAAATTTTCGATATCCCTGTCTCTTCTTTGGCTGGAAAAAACTTAATAGACAATTTCATTATCATTATTATTTTTATATCCCTAATTCACTTGCGCGTTTTCGCCTCTTTCCGTTTACGTTCTTAACTATCTAATTATTTTTACACTTCTTATTACGTAATTCTAATGTTTTATGGTTATTGTTTTAAGACTATTCATCCACGTTCGACTTGTCACTTCAAATAACTTTCGTTATTTCATTATTCTTATGACTAGAACACTTGTCTTCTTCTTATCAACTTTTACTTTTGTCTATTATGCGTAGTTATGCGATCTGTTGGATTGTGATTATTAATTCATAAATCGCCTCGATTCATTTAACATTTTCATATAAATATTCATGTATATTTTAAATTAAAGCTTGATGACGATCTAATTGAAAACAATATTGTTCGCTTAATTGTTTTCATTTTATTGTTCACAATGGAAATCTTTGATAGTCAACTGACGTCAACATCTAATGAAAATTATCTGTCGTAGATGCATGAAAATCGATAAATAAAAATTCATTTTTTTGTAACATCTAAGAAAGCATATCTGGTCAACTTACAGTTTCTGTTAGAAAAGCTAAATTATGATGTGGTTCAAACAAATCAGCAGTTAACTGACATGATGTTTGATATAATTCTTTAGCCTACACAAATTAAATTAAAATTAGAATGAAAAAAAAACTGGAACAGCATAACAAAAGATTATAGCGATGATTTTTAATAATAATCAATCTTATTAAAATTGACAATAAAAATTATTTTTCATAACACTTACTTTACTAATCATTTCTTTGACTTTCTAAACATCAAATCTTAACTCTTTGATACCTAGTGTCAATGTAAGAGCACGTTTCGTTTGAAAAATATCTATCTTTACTATACATTAGATAATATTCACTGATCATTTCATTTACAGTATTATTACAGATAGAAATATAGATTTATGTATCAAACAAAATTACTACGCTAAATTAGCAACATGAAGACAAAATTCTCTCGGCAAAACAGTAAAAAGTTGAAATGAATAGATAAGTAAATTGAACAGAGAAATATAAACAATGAATACAGTAAGGTTTGAACAACTTCAATACATAATGTTAGTACAACTTTCATACTAGAATATATCTAGGCAGATATTACGCAGAACTTGATCTTTCACATAAATCACACCAGCAGTCAATCATGTATTGCACTGCTGCCATTTTTTACACTGAGCAAACTAAGTTTATTGTTCTACTTCAAAACTGATGAGCGGACAATCCTCAGCTATTAAATTATTATATTCAATTCAAGGAAAGGAAAAGGTAATAATAGCTGATAATTTTGATGCTGATTGTTCACATAAATTAATACAAAAGTGTATCATTTCAAATAATTCTTACCATATTGATATTACCACTTTTCTGTTCTAACACACCCAAATTATTATATGCTTCTGCATGATTATTATCATTCATAATAGTGAGATATAAACATTGATTGGCCATCTGAAGATCTCCAATATTCTTAATTTAAAAGATAAATAGATAGATATAAAGTAATAAGTTTATATTTTACAATGTAGACCATCTTCTTGAAGCTAGAACAGATGATTATTCATGAAATGAACACTAAATTTTTATTTAATAAAATAAAGATACTGTTTAAGTTGACTTTCATTAACCATTGATCACAAAATACCTATTCAAACAAAATTGATACTGATCTCAGCATATCTATAAAAACATTTGATTTAATTCATCTAAAAAAACATCCTAAAATTACATTAATGATACTTAATATTTCTAGCGTGTATAATAATTAATAATTGCAATCTATGATGATAAGTTATTTTGAAATCTATTTGCAATAGGTCTTTAGGTCATAGTGAGTTCATTTTCCTAATTATTCTGATCACGTCAGTTAACATCAAACTTTGCTGAAGTGAAAATACCAAACATTTTTTTATTATAGTGAAATGATTTTAAATCAGTTTTCTAAACCGGTTATAGATAGTTTAATCATTTGCTCTAGAAACGAAATAATCTAGAACAGAAGTAACTGGAAATCCAGATAGTCTACACCTACCAACATGGTTGGTGTAGACTACCTGGTTAGGGTCAGAGAGATGATAGTAACCGATAGTTCGAGAGCTTAGATGACATGACTCAAAATCGTTTGCAATGGCGCAGATGAATGCATTCTTTGCGTTCTATGAAATTCCAACCTTCTGAATCCTAATCTCTCCGATTACTTTTAATACTTTTACTACCTCTACTACTTTCGGATTTGAACTGACAGTAGTGTCTCTGTGTTAATGTGGTATGGCAACCTGAACTAATGTACGCACCACGTTGTGACTGATACATTCAACCACAGAAAAACAATAACTGTTTTCTAACCTCTTTTCGGACTGTCCGATACTTCGAATCTAACTTATCAAAACACGATCAAGTTTCAGTTAATATGTATTTTAACACTAAACGTGTAAATATTTAGTACGGATTCACTGTATTCCTTCACGGCTTTGTTTAACGCCTTTCGTTACTACTAGCAAACGTAGAGATACATCGGTCATAGCATGATCTGAAGTTTATTTCTGAGTAACTACTGGTTGTCTGAAAAGTAAATCAGTACGAGAGTTGTAGAGATTGATGGAGTTTATTGAGATCTAGGAACGATCCAAGTTGTATCAGCTTAGTTGAAAATTTTGCGAATAACAATTTTAAATTTGATATATTTTTACTTAATCATTTGATGGTCTTAAATTTTGGAATTAATTACGTTGAACTTTGGAGATTATTTTGACTAGCGCGTTTTTCATTGAGCCAATGCAATGGTTTGACCAGTCAACTGATGTACGTTATTGCTTAGAATTTAATAGATTTTCTGTTTATACAGACAAATCTGATTTATTTGTTAAGTATATAAAGATCGGTTTAACTAGAAAGTATTTTGATCATAAATTGATATGGGTGGAAGTGTTCATTATCTTTCTCCAACATTTCGTCACTGCTGGTCGAAAAGACTCACTAAAAATGTCCCACAAAATATTCTAAATGCTAAAACAATTTTTAGGTTTTGACAATAGTAGTATAGTCAGTTAAATTGTATCCTGTAGATGTGTTAGCGGTTTGACACTTTACACCTGATCTTAGTGTTCAGAAGGAAAAAATTTCATGTTGACATAATATTTGTAAGTTTGTATACTGAATAAATTAATAGTTATTGATTCCTTTTATTGTTCTCAGTTTTATTCCTTTTTCGACTATCATCTCTATGATTTTGCGCTATTCTTCACCTTTCTCAAACCTGTCAAATAAGCACTTATCTTTCACACGTTCTGTTTCATTCTGGGATTTACACGCGAGACCGAAGGATCTCGGTTTAATTTCCGGATACAATGTTGCAGGTACGCACTCCTAAGGAGTTCGGCACAGGAACATCTCAGCCGCCTAGTGTTTTCAGGTTTTTATCGATGATCTAGCTATGATCAGTTCGTTATTTAAATAATGAAAAGAAAACTATTTCTCTCTAATGAATCTAAGTAAAAAAAAAAAAGAGATGCGATAAATTGTATATCCTTAAATAACAACATATAAAAATCTGTTAAATACCAAAGCTACAAACTAACTATTTTTATGATTATTCAATAAGAAATAAACAACAAATTGTAATGATAAAATAATTTCGAAGATTTATTGACATTTATTTTCGATAATTAAATCAAATCTCTGTAATCAAACAGATTTAATCAACAGTTTATCTCTTCAAAATGAAAATTTAATAAAACTGAAGTATTGTAAGTGGTAAATAAACAAATGAACTACAGATTACTGATTGAATATTTGTGAGCTTGACTTCTCGTCAAAAAATGTTCAATGAAATGATATACACTCACAAATAAATAATAAATACTCTGCCTAACATTGAATATTTAGTTAAGATATCGTGAAGGAATATTCTTAACGAAACTGTTCAGCCAACTGATGAATTTTTTGCGATAGATTTTGTTTATATTCACTGACATGTTATTCAATATCTTAAACTTCTTCACACTATAATTTAAGTAAGCATCTTATTGCAATAGAATTTATAAAAAATCAAATTAAGATTTTACTGAACTAAATATCATAGGTCATAAATAACTGAAGACAGAATTACTCTGCTCAACAAAACAAAACTCAGTTATGATTTCAATTAAAGGATTTTGAGGAAATATCTAGAAAGAAAAACGATGGTAAAAGCCAGAATATGAAGCTTATTTTTTCATATAGGTTACTACAATATACATATATGTAAAGATCTTAGGTCAAAGTCATTCGAACAGAAATAGGTGACACAATACTGACTTCAACTGTTCCATTCTGGCTGCCGTAATTCTAAACTTATCTGATTCACTTCAGATAATGAATGATACTTATAACGAGTGTCATAAGTTACTTCCATGTTCAAATTTATGATTGTTATAATCGATCTAGAATACTAATGATCAATTATTTCACTATTAGTTAGATTATTTCTAACAGTACTTTATCACATTGGAATAAAAATGAAAATGAAAGTAATGTGTAATGGTAAATACATGACTTACAATTGCGATATGCCCGAGATTATAGTAAATATCCGCTAAGTTTGTTGTTTCACTTAGCGCAATAGCTTGATTGAAGAATGATAAGCATAGATCATATTGTTGAGTATAAAATGTGCACAATCCTAAATTATTGTATAATTCAGCTGATTCATATCCATATTGCAGAATACGTCTATTTATATTTTTTTAAAAAAAGAGAGAAATCGATCACATTATATGGGTTAAATTATATTGATATCAATAAGTTGGATTCTATTCAAAAGTAGCTTTGAATTTAGGTCTAGCTTTAGTCAACTATAGTCAATAAATTGAGCCCGGAATTTCAAACGGTATATGATGCTAAACATTGAATTTGAACGATGGCAACCTAGTTAAATAGACCATTTTAGTGAAAATCAATACCATGTTCCTAAATATTACTTAGTTAACAATCTTTCTAACCGTTTCGACTAATCAGAAGCTGAAATATTAGCGAATTCGATTTTAAGGCTTCTATCAAATTAGTGGAAAGGTTATTGGACACTTGAAAACATCTGTTGAGATCTAGTTTAAGAAACTTCAGCTTTTGTCATCTGGAATCAAGGTTAAATTGCATAAATATCAGCTTCAACATACAAATCTTTAACTAGTGAATCGAATCTCGGTGGCCAATATCTATCTGTCTTAACTAATTCACAATACAAAGTTCGTAAAACTATGATCTTGATCCCATCTGCTCACTAGTAATAAATTCAAAAATGATTGACTCCATAGCTAATGTTGAATAAAATTAGAAATCTGCAGCTGTTGGGATAAGATTTCGGCCCTACTTTTTTCACTCGTCGAAATGCTTCCTTGCATAAAATTTCTCTGTAACACCGATCTCCACATAATTTATGTCTCGGCTAACATTTTGGCCTCAGTTTAGATGTAAACTATCATCTTCTTAATTTTTAACAACAGTTAATAAAACAAATCATTCTGATGGATTCAATTTTATTGAATAACTGTAAAGTTTAAAAATTATTTCTGCCACTAATTTCTCTGTTTTAAAATTATTTCCGTGATTAATTTTAATCAATTTCATTAAAACTAATTGGTTCAGGTTTGTCATACATTTTCACTTTAAAATATATGCTACTGAAATCATGTAAGTAATAAAACTCTTAATCAAAGTATTAACCAAATGAGGTACTGACGCGCTTAGTTTGTTTAACATGATAGTAAAACAGATGGTACTTCAGGAACGTGATAAACTTTTGCACTTGGAAATTTAAAAGGTAAACAACCTTCTATTTCTGGATTCAGTTGAATTATTTTTCCGACACATGGCTAGAATAAACCTACTAAATCAGTAGGTCATTTATATTTTAACTTATATAAGATCAAGTAAAAGTAGATATGTAAAACTTACTTGTAATACTTTAGTGAGACTTCCGGTTCATCCTCATAAAAATAATACATTGCAATTGAAGCCAAACTCTCAACATTCATATCGTCTATTTGAGATATTTCTTTATATAAAGCAACCGATTGTGAGACATCGTTTAATTTCTGAGTAATATTCATCAAAAAATGCATTATTCAGATTGAGATGAATGCATCAAACTTTAACAAATTGCCACCGAATCATAATGCACAAAAGTGATTTTTTGAGACTGAAACTTATACTATGATTATAACTATTGATGCATAGGGGATTAAATTAGACAATAATCATTTCCCATTTTATAGTGAATAACTACGCCTAATATAGATTCTGTAAAGTTTTTGACCAAACTTGGGAAACAAATCATAATTACCAAAAACCTTATTTAAATCCTTTACTACCTTTGCTATTTAGATAATGGTATCACTTCTGACTATCAAAGGAATCTAGAACATGAGTTTCATTCAATTTACGACTGTCAGGTACAAATAAGTTGAGTAGTTGAATTCCCGTTCAATAGTTTGATTGTCACACTAAATCTCTGCACGTTATCCATTAACGCTATATATCTTCAAGTTCAAATTCATTTTAAAAGATCTTATCAACATTCACCTGTGGAGAAAATGGCTAATTTGTAATGAACTCGCTACATAAAATTTTCAGTTTCAAGTATATTACATCTAATTAAAAGAAAATATTTAAGGGAAATCCAGTTATTCTTCCCTTGCTAGTTCTTCCACATATGATTTATATAATGAAACATACATTAATTTACCTGATATATTCTAGCTTTACCAGTTAACAGATCAATATCTTGAGGAAATCTTTCCAAGCCTTTATCGTAAATACTAAGTGCACGAACCGGCTGATTAAGTTGTATAGCAACAAATGCTAGAAGTGTATATGATTCTACACTTGGATTTAATTCTAATGATAGATTGATTGAACATTCAGCTTCTCGTCCAAGTCCTAATCTAAATTATTGAGGAAGTTGGTTATTTTTATCATATATTTCAGTTATATTTAATATATATCACAACCTGTTTGTTAGTTTAACTAAGAGATTTCGACAGTTCAAAGAAAAGTTTAAAATTATTTTGAATTTTATTTTACAACCGGAATATGTTTTTTATTCATTGTAGCATCTTATTATACATTTATGGTCAAAGATAGTGATTAATTCATAAAACCTTTGATCCACTGGTTTCCTAGTTGGAGCAAAATGACAGTAAATTTGCATGACTTACACTTGTTTCAAACGATTGATTGTACGCTGATTTATTTCCATCAGAAGCAAACAAATTGTTACAGAATTAAGTGTTCGAAAAATACAAATGTAGCTTACTACAGTATGTTATCATCGATACCTGTCTTTTCAAGAAGTAAGACGCAATGATATTCAAGTGCTTGAATCCAGTTCAATATGAGATCTAAAGTAGTCTCAAACTTTGATTAACACCAGGAAAACAAGTTACATCAATATATAATAGGCCATAATGCCACAATACCATATATTTCGAGCTAAAATATATTTTCAGTTGTCACAAATAGGAAAATAAGTGCAAACATTCGAAACACTTCTTCGCGCAAATCAGTAAAAATATTTTTAATAAGTATCCATTACATAATTGGTTTGCCGTATTTCTGTATTAAAGTAGTGTTAGTCTGATCATTCAACTCATTGAAAGTTCGGTATATCTCATACTGTTCCTATGTCATATACAATTGATTGTATACGTACTAAAAAGTATTATACCATGAATGACCTAGTTATGTACAGATTCGGATTTATTAATGAGACTGCGTTTTGACTACTAATTTGGGACATAACATATTCATGAACCGATCAGTGTTAGCATATGACTTAGTTGAATTTATGATTAGATGTTAATAATATTAGGCAGAAATTAAAATAATAGTAGCCTATTACATTGTAGACTATTGGTAATATAGTTAAAAAAACTCCTTAGTCGATATTATTTCCCTTTCATCATCAAAAAATCAGACTTCAGTATTAAATGATATAATGTAAATATTTATACATTTTTAAAACCCAGTACTTTTCGACTGTATTCACTTCTAACCAACAGTTTGCCGTACGTTAAAATGGTTAGATCATCAAAGAAATCCATTGCGTCACTGAATAAAAAATGAGGAGAATTCAACAAAAACTTTTCTCACTGAATTTCCTCCATCTGCATTCACTGACGTAATGAATTACTTTATTTATCTGAAGACTTGTAATGATCTTGTGACAGTTAAGAAACTCAATTGGTTCCTTCATTTTCCAGTCAACTTGCAATAGCAAATGTCATTATAAAATGCACTGATAACCTGAATATTCTTGCATTGCTGTTAGTACACAGTGTAGTAATGACAGGTTTGTTAGAAGGAGATATCAGGGCGGATGTGTTGCCAGACTAATACTAACAACCATTTTGTTAAATGTGACATTCTACCATTTACCACTTTGATTTCGAATGTCTTCTGTATCAAATCAACATATCATGGAACAAACCATGGGGAACCAATATTGATCACATTACCACTACTAGCGGATCTGTTGGTGAAAATCACTTCAAGGCCATTATTAATATTTCACTATCACTCACAGTTAATTTCAAGCTGTAAAATTAGTTATTAAATGAAAGAAAGACATCTCAGTAACGTTAAATAGAATTTAACAAACAATCATTCATTTCAATTTGGAATTGTTTGAATTACCTGTTTTAACATTCTTGATTACTAGGAAAAAAAATATAATTCATCAGTTTTATTTATAAGGGGAATTTAACATTTTAATTGCTGGAAATTTTATTATCCAAGTTTTAGGTGAAAACTCATATTTAACAATAAAGGCGAACATAATGACCGGTTGGTTTTTAATGAATATATAAGCCTTCTAGGAATCAATTTTAAGTTAGACGATAAGGTTATACCAATAAAAGTATATAAAGATATACTTCTACCTCAATTACTCATCATGAGAACGAAACTTAAGAGGTACTTCTTGAGATTATGCTGTAGATCTAAGTGCATTAACAACAGAAAACTGTCAAAATTTTATTTCAATATTTTCTTCAATGGAGCACAACAGTACAAATACAGTGTATTTTTGTGAAGTCCTCAGATTATTTACATTACAAATTATTTTGACATGATTAAAATTAATTTAAAACTTTAAGAAATGTGGTTCATATGAGTTTATGTAATAAGTCTATAGTTTTATTAAGTGCTGTTTCACACTCTTTGAGTGTGAAAATCCCTCCTAGTATTCTCTGTCATCAGTCTTTCGGCATTTTCATACTTGAGAACGTTCAGACATAACTGGATAATATTTGTACTTAAAAGAGTTTCTTTGTATTTAACCAATTTATCTTATGTATCTAAAAACTAAGTAAGTTAACATGCAAATGATATAAGTAGTCACTCAATCAATATTGGAGTATTCCAACCATAATCACTTTGTAAATATTAATGACTTTTTCAATTCAAGAAATTTTCTCTCTGGTTTTTATTTGAGAACATACCATAAATGACCGTAAAACATAGGTAAATTATTACACAAAATTTCTAGTAATTCTATCTATCCAGTACAAAGTATCTTCAATTCATACATCACTGTTTGATACAAATGGTTGATAAGTGAGAAAAATAGTCCATTCTTGACTTACCTATACAAACAACGTGCTTGTTGTAAATACCACCACCAATTCATCTCCACATATTCATTATATGATAAGTGATTTAATTGTAATTTCGATACTGAATGATACATAATAAGTGAAAATATAAACTCATACCCTGATTATTAGTTTTATTATTAGTAGTACATATTAAATTTGTTAAGTTGAGCGCTTCACGGTATTCTTTAGCAACATAGAATAAAAATTCAAATAAGGAACATGCTATTTCTGAATTTTGAGTATACTTCACTAAATTCAAACGACTTATATCAATGGGTTCTTTGTTTAGATGAGCAGTCTGCAAAAAAACAACAAAAATAAGTAACTGCATCAACAATGTATTATTAATAAATATTTAAATTTATTCCGGAGATTTGCCTTAGTGATATGAATATCATGATTTTTTTTACTTTGGATTGCCAATATCATTAGAGCTTCCATTTGATTACTAATTATCATCGGTCTCATTTATTAATAAGCTTAGCTAAATTTTATTGACTTGCTGAATCGCTGGCTTATATTTTCTCTTGTTCTTCTGTCTTACATTTTCTCACATAGATAGTTATCTTTATGCTTTAACGACGAAAAATTACATGTAGGTGAAGTTCACGCGTTTTATGTAAGAACTGAACAATGCCACTTTTGGTCATTACATATTCTCCCTTCAGTATTTTACAATTAATGTTTCAATCATTTCGACAATAAAACTGTTTGATTTAAACTTCTAAATATTCTTCAATGTGAGCCGCTTTGAAATAAAATACAGATACCAGATATATTCATCATTTATATGCATAGTATAAGGTAAATAATGAATCATAAACGAAAAATACTAGTGTTTTCCGGTTTATTATTTTAAAAATACCTATATCCCTAGTACGTGAATATGAAATCGGTAATATAAAACACTGTATTTTGAAAATTATTTTCATCGCCAAAAAAACTAGATAAAACCACTAAAAGCGAGAGAATAGTTAAGCGTCATCAGTTTTACAGAGGGTTAACCTTACTGAGAATCATATAAATGACTATGAAGCCTTGCGACTAGCAGAAAAATGATTTGGATCCAAAGGTCAACTATCGACACCTGAGTCAATGTTTGAAACAGATCGACTCTCATGTGAAGTAGTTGGAATGTCCTACACCGTTCTAAAGATATTTCTTGATAAAAAAGATGTCCATGATAATTATAAATCTCTGAAAAACCAAGAGGTGCTTTGATAAAATATTTACCGATTCAATGTTAAAATTACTCTCATTGAACTATTCTTGTGGAGTTAAAATTTTTCCACAATTTGGAAACGAAATGCTTACTGTTCCTTTTCGCTGGCGTTTATTGTAATAAGCTGTTACAGGTCTCGAAGTGTTACGAATAACGGCCTCAATGGAATCTGTACATTGTTTTGCACCATTTTTATTAGAAACACCTGTTAATGGACGACTGGTTATGTTTGATGGACTGAAAAAAGCAGATGTCATAAAAAACAATGATACTTACCGCACAGCCTGACTTAAACTACTAGTAGCTAGTCTGGAGTTATCTGATGAAAAACGAAGACAAGGAGCATCAGCAACATTTTGATCACAGAATGCGATATCACAAAAGTTAAACTCCGTGTAAAACTCGTCGTCACTAATTAAATCCTCAGTTATTGCTCTTATATTCAAAAGCCAACATGCCATTTATGAAAAGAAGATAAATTTTAATTTCTACTCACTTTGTTGTTAGGATCAGCTTCCAATAAACTTTCACACACTTTACTACAACCTTTAAAATCACGTTTGTAATATCTTGATAAAGCCAAGTACATTGTATCCATTACGAATTAGGTTGTGGCATGCGAGGACTAAAATGAAAAGTAATTTGCAACGAAGTATCCAATGATAGTCAATGATGGTTTCGCTATACTTAAAAATAAGCGAAGTTGATTCAGGCCTTTGTACTCGTAACGATATACAATGATTCTGGATTAATTCCCCAGATAAGGTAGTGGTTTTACATCACTTATGAAGCCCAGATGAAGAAACAACTGTATTATTTATTCAACTGATTTTAGCGCACAATATTTCTTTATTCATAAAATGTGTTTTTTAGTCAAATATTTGCAGCATTAACAAAGCTGCCTATAGACTATCTAACTTTTGAGGGCAAAGATCAAGACTTAAAAAGTTCCAGGTTAATTTCTGCAAGGAATCCTGGGACTATAACAGATTGGTGAAACTTAAATAATAACCAAAATATGTGGATGAGAAAAGACCAGGCACATAATTTAACAATCAGTAGTACAACTGAACGAGAGAGTTTTACAACTAGTATTGTTAGGAACATACTAACTGCTTAAACTGTGCAATCAGTAATCATTTCTATGCTACTTGGTTTAAATGAAAGTATTTTCTGTTGAATACATACTCAAATCAGTTTGGAAATACTTTTTGACTTCAAACTTCTGACTACACTCGTTAACCAGTCTAGAAACTGTACACTTTTATTCAAAACTGAGGTATTTGCAGCTTTACTGAGTGACATAGATCCTCTGTACGTACAGCACACAACATACATTTATTTAAACTAAGACATTTCTCCCCACAGATGGATTACAAAATTTTTCGCAAAATTTAAACTCGTAGTAAATAAATAAAAGGGAATCTTAACTACACCGTCGTAAAACACTAATTCATTTGATTCTCCTTCAAACTTTCATTGGTATTTCTTACGAAAAAATCGAAAATTTAGCATGCAATTTTTTAGATAAGTAGGAACCAGTATGAATTAAAAATAAGCAATTTTTAAAATCCATTAGATAAGTTTCAAGGACATCGATTGCTTTGTATACAAGCAGTTATAATTATATATCTAAATGCTAACTTTGTGTGAATTTTGTTGAGTAGTATCACTTAAACTAAGTACAAAACTTAAACCTTCTCTGCTACTTGTATACATTCTTCAAGTCTAACACTTAAACGTTTCTTATATAACAACCACCAGCTAAACCTAAGTTCATTGAATCGTGCATATGACAAGACATTTTTGTAAATACGAAAACTGTTTAAAGCTAATTTCATACCTAAATATCTCATTGACAGAAAAAAGATTATCCCAAACTCTGGGCAAAATATCTGATTGTAATACAATGAAAACCTCCTTAACACTATTATACCATTGATCCAAACAAGAAATATTCGATTATTATTTATCTTTATTGAAGAACCAACTGATAAAACAGGTCTTCGTGCGGATAACAAAATTATTGGATTCAAGAATTTACATGAAAGTCACAATTTAAAAATCAATAGACATAACATGTATCTTGTAACGAAACTAGACTAATTTAATTTCGTGTTCCATTTCGATCTCATTACAAAGAGACGAAGTTCTTTACTGAGATTAAAAAGACACAATATATTTGAAACAAACTAACTCAGACACCTAATATCAAGGCATTAAACCAGAATCTCATCACAAATTGAATAATTTTAGATAAAAAGTGCTAAAAAATCTTATATTTGGTAATATTATAGAGTGAGAATGGTTCTATGTAAGCAGACTTCAAAAAATTATTCTTTTCCATTCTTAAACAATGAAAAGTATCGATGCTTTTTATTGAACCAGGTGTATTGTATGAAAATATGACTAAATTTATTCATACTAGCTTTTTAAATTTTTCATAAGTTTGGCACAACACAAAGCGATTTGAATAGCCTCAGTTACAGTAACTCCCCGAAGACTGATTAAAACAAACATCTTGCCTTTACCGGTGCAAAATCCAAAACATGTTTTAGAGGTCTGCAACAACTCCGATATTTTTTCACGAGCTAATATAAACCAATCGATTTCTTTGCGTTCGATTCACTGCCCATTTCTCAATAGATGTAAGGTCCTTTTGATTCCTCTTCGCTTCTAATGGACCTCCAGATATTCTCATCGTCTGCGTAGATCAATGCCGGTGAGCTACCTGTGCCTATCAGGTCGTTGATAAATATCAGGAAGAGAACTGGACCTCAGATGGTCCCCTGTGAAACTCCCAATGTGGATACTCTCCAGCTCGCGTGTACTCTATTTAACTTGGTACGAAACTTTCTATTCTCACAGTTCTTTCATAGCCGACATACGAGTGCGTCAGTGGAGCATATTAGTCGATATTACTCTCCTCGATTTATCTACCTAAGAAATTTGTTCTATCATTGGTGAAGGAGACGAATTGCATTATTATCGATTGTTGACCAGTGAGTATTTGTATTTCGAATTTTGAACTATCAGTATCTCGATGTTTTTCAGTAGACATAAGTGATTAGGGTATACCATATGACAGAACCGTTTTCCATAAACCCGAAGATTATGGCTACGTTACATTAGTCTAAGATATTAATTCACGAATATAATTAAGAAAGATAATTATTATCCAAAATGGTGCTTTAGGCGTCTATGAATTTAAAGATATCACGGATATACAGGGCTTCACAAAGATTGTGTCTATAAAACCCCTATAATGTAGAATACGAAACTCAATGAAATTCGGATTAGGGATTTAAACAGTTTGCTGCGCCTGTAGAACCTTCGAGGATACTGCCGATCCCAAGCCCGGATCAGGGAGGAGGGTTGAGCATGGGGTTGACGACCCCATCCCACCAAAAAAACGCTCACCAGAAAAACTAGTTCAAACCATCTTAACTCTGCCCTGAGAGTTGGAAGAAGAATTATTACGTCGTGATGAAAGCCGAGTTCCCTCGGAAGTAACGAGGCCGATGCCTCTTCTGACAACCAGAGCAACCATTTTTTTAAGTACATGGAACGTTCGTATATTGTGGGAGACTGGAAGACTATTTCAAGTTGCGGCAGAAAGAAAAGATACAACCTCCATGTGCTAGGCATCAGTGAAACGCATTGGACACAGGTAGGACAACTGAGACTAGCTTCAGAGGAACTGCTGTTATACTCTGGTCATGAAGAGGAAAATGCTTCACATACACAAGGAGTTGCACTGATGCTGTCCAAACATGCACAAACAGCACTGATAGGATGGGAATCTCATGGACCCAGGATCATTAAAGCATCCTTCAAAACAAAGAAACAGGACATTACAATGAACGTCATCCAATGTTATGCACCCACCAATGACTACAATGACGACGTTAAAGATCAATTCTACGACAGGATGCAGTCAATTGTCGAGAAATGTTCACCAAAAGATTTGACGATTCTGATGGGAGACCTGAATGCCAAGGTTGGAATGGACAACACTGGATATGGAGACATCATGGGACGACATGGACTGAGAGAAAGGAACGAAAACGGTGAGAGATTTGCAAACCTATGTGCCTTCAACGAAACTGGTCATCGGTGGCACACTATTCCCGCACTAACGCATTCACAAAGCCACATGGATTTCACCGGACCACACTACTCAAAACCAAATTGACCATATCTGTATCAACTAAACGTTCAGCAGGACTCAGGAGTATGTGACAACCAAGAGAGGAGCCGATATAGCTTCAGATCACCACTTGCTGATCGCCAAAATGCGATTGAAGCTAAAGAAGCACTGAAAAGCGGGTAAGACAACATCACAGAAGTTTAATACAGCCTTTCTTCTGAATACCGTAAAACTCAACGAATTCAAGATAGCCCTCACCAATAGGTTCCAGGCCTTGCACGATATACTCAACGGAGAGGAAGCAACATTGCAGAACAATTGGAAAGGGATCAAAGACGCAATCACTTCAGGAGGTTCCAGGTCACAAGAAACACCGCCACAAGAAATGGATCTCTGTTGGTACTCTTGCAAAAATTGAAGAAAGGAGGAACAAGAAGGCAGCAATCAGTGTCAGCCGAACAAGAGCGGAGAAAGTTACCGCACAAACTGCATACACAGAAGCAAACAGGGAAGTGAAGAAGAGCATCAGATCCAGCAAACGAAAACATGTGGAGGATCTGGCAATGACGGCGTAAAAAGCTGCAAAAGACGTTAACTTGAGACAATCGTACGAAACAACAAAGAAGCTCGCCGGAAACTATCGTAAACCAGAACGACCAGTGAAAAGCAAGGAAGGCAAAGTAATCAGCAACATTGAAGAACAGAGAAATAGGTAGGTAGAGCACTTTCAGGAACTCCTGAATCGACCAGCTTCACTGAACACACCCAACATTGAACCAGAATCTACGAACCTCCCAATCGATGTTGGCCCATCAACGATTGAGGAGATAAGTATGGCCTTCAGACAAATCAAGTGCGGCAAAGCAGCAGGACCAGACAACATTCCAGCATAGGCAATGAAAGCAGATGTGGAAGCAACTGCAAATATATTTCACATTCTCTTCAAGAAGATTTGGGATGAGGAACAAGTACCATCAGATTGGAAAGAAGGATACCTGATCAAAATACCAAAGAAAGGCGATCTCAGCAAGTGTGAGAACTACACAGGCATCACTCTTCTTTCAATACCAGGCAAAGTCTTCAACAGGGTATTGTTAGACAGAATGAAGGACATCGTAGACGCCCAACTTCGAGATCAACATGCTGGATTTCGTGAGGATCGATCGTGTACTGTCCAAATTGCAACATTACGGATCACTGTGGAACAATCAATTGAATGGAACTCACCACTCTACATCAACTTCATCGACTTCGAGAAAGTATTCGATAGTGTGGATAGGAAAACACTGTGGAGGCTTCTCCGACACTACGGTATGCCTGAGATGATAGTTAATATCATACGGAATTCTTATGATGGATTAAACAGCGAAATCGTGCACGGAGGTCAGCTAACAGACTCTTTCGAGGTGAAGACCGGTGTCAGGCAAGTTTTCTCGACTTTGCAAAAGCCTTTGACACAGTACCCCACGCACGCCTAACCATAAAGGTTGTGGAAATGGTCTTCACCGACCCACTTCTATCTTGGCTCAGAAACTACCTTAAGAATAGAAAGTTTCGTACCAAGTTAAATAGAGTACACGCGAGCTGGAGAGTATCCACATTGGGAGTTTCACAGGGGACCATCTGAGGTCCAGTTCTCTTCCTGATATTTATCAACGACCTGATAGGCACAGGTAGCTCACCGGCATTGATCTACGCAGACGATGAGAATATCTGGAGGTCCATTAGAAGCGAAGAGGAATCAAAAGGACCTTACATCTATTGAGAAATGGGCAATGAAACACGGTTTAAAACTCATCCAACCGAAGTGTCACGTCATGCATTTTCTGCCTCACACGAAGCAAACAATCTATACCCTCAATGGAATCCTGCTCCCTAATGTCTCCTCAGAGCACGATCTCGGTTTAATAACCACAGAAAGCCTCCACACGAGTCCGACGCAGCCAAGGCAAATGCGACTCTTCACTCTATGCGAAGACAACTTGCCGCTATCAGCCCGCAACTATTTTTGACACTATTTAAGACGTACGCACGCCCACACCTGTAGGTTCACAATTTCATCGCAACCTCTCTGCTTAAAAGAGACATAAATCTCATGGATCGAGTGCAGAGACGAGCAACCAAATGGGTGATAGGGATGAACAATAAACCTAAAGACGATAGACTCCAGTTCTTGGTATTATTATAGCTACAGGAGAATCAGATGCGATCTGAGTATGGCGTACAACATATTAGTCACACCAAGCCATCCAAACGTGAGCAACTTACCGACGCATCATCACCACTCCCCTCGAGGCGATCCTCGAAAGACTGCACATCAAAGAGCGAATACTCAGGTTTGTGCATACTTTTTCTCATTGAGAAACGTCGCGACTTGGAATGCCCTCCCAGCCGCGGTGACGTCAGACCCCCCATTAGACAGCTTTAAGAAGAGACTTGATAATCACGCCCTCACATAAGGATTATCATCTCCCTCTTGGGCAAGCTATGCCTGATGCATATCTTGAGACCTTCTAGTTGTTATCATTGCCATCTCCTCAGATCACCCAATTATTCTACTAGCCGTTTGTCTCTGTTTACTCCCCTTTGCTTACACTACGGTCCTCACCCACAATCTTCACCACCAATTGACAAACTAAATTCATCTATATATTACTCAGTTCTGAAATTTGATTCATATCAGCATTAGGGTTTTATTTTTATATTCCTTATTACTCTCCGCATTGCAACTAACTGGTCTGGTAATGTGATAGCTGCTGGTATCCAGAAACCATGCTGCCCTGAAAAAAACGTTTTCATTCAAAACACGAGATATACAAACTCACAACCAACTGACACCTGACTAGGATTAGACAGTCGAGTGGCTAGACCCCCATCCATCAGAAACTACCGAACACCTGTAACTGTACTGAAAGTACAAAAAACTAGGGCAAAGAAATCGATTGGTTTACACTAGCTCATGAAAAATATATTGGTCATTGGACCAGTATCATGGTAACAAACTGGTTAATCTATCAACAATGCACGGTACAGAATTTATTGATGCGAAGATAAAACAGCGTAGAGTATTGTTGATATCGAAAAGAAACTCACCAACTTGTCAGCATATTGAGGGAATTTTGAGAACATACAGTTTAAATAGAGGAAAGACTAACAATTTTGAAGTACTGTACATAGAGTGTAGGAAGGATTGTGGCACAATCGAGACATACTTATGGCACAAGCTATGTTACCGGAACAGGCAGGTGACTGATAAATTACTGTTTCCTTCTTTGAACAGTTGTTTATCATTCAGTAAGACATTCCTTTCAAAACTATGTTTATGTATACTAACCACCAAAACTTTTTAACATTTTATTATCTAAATCGTTTGAAAAACCTGGAGTCAGTTCTTAAACCATAATATAAGGTATTAGATTACATTACTCAAACACTCAAATCCCGAGACATACAAACTCACAACCAACTGACTAGAATTAGACAGTCAAGTGGCTAGACCCCCATCCATTGGAAACTACCGAAAGAACAAGAAGCGAGAGCAAAGAAATCGATTGGTTTACACTAGCTCGTCAAAAAGATGTTGGAACTGACGAACCTTGCGAATTCGTGAAAGTTCTTGGTTTCCCCAAAATGTTTTAAGGATTTCTCTCCGAGTTCTTAGCTGAAATAACTGAACCACGGTTTTAGACAAAAACGTTATAAGAATTTTTTCCCTACAAAATGATCTCAAGCATTCAGAAATGGGTCCAGCTCAAAATCTTCCCATTACATGAATTTTGACGATGGTAAGTGTAACATTTCAATTTATGTGGTCTAAACAGCCAGACCACCAAGTTCACCTAAAGGTCTCCTTTACGTATCTCATAAAACTGACGAGATAAGTCAATACTCCTCATTGTTGTAGTCTCTAGTGTTGATCCTGAATAGGCATTAATTCTCTTGACTGTCTTTGACTCCAAGTCATCAGATACGTGAAATGATTTTAGTCGTCACTCATGGACATCGCAGGACCTGTCACATGAGTAAATCGGTACAAGTTGCCACACCCCGTTATTACAGCAGGTTGACATTTTAAAGGTGAATCATAAAGCGACAAAGACAGTAAGAGTATTGGCAGTATGATATAACAGGATCAAGAGGCAAAAGCTACATTTACAAAACTAATTCAACAATTTCCAGTACGATATTCTATTTATTATAACCCATGTATTTTAGTGTAGTGTTTATTCAAGAAACAATTATCCAGGTTTCTAATGGTGGCCTAACAATGATTGATTGATGATTTCAAATGTGTAAAAAAATTCTCTTTGTACTAAATTAACCTGAAGTATATTCGAAAGGAGACACAGCATGTAACTTGCAGTAATTCTGGACGTCATATATGCAACTTTTTACTGGCTTGTAACCAAATGTGTATAAACCAATGAGTATATTTTGACTCGCACTGGCCTTTGTGTCCTTACTTCGGATCGTCGGGATTGTATGGGTTACCCGTTTTCAAGTATAAGTCATAGGGAGATCCAGATAGAACACTGGCGGTCATCCGGACATAACAGAGTGGTAACTAAGACTACGCAACGAAGATAATGTACGAAATATGGGATAGGTTAGAGATTTAAAAGTTAGTTTGTAAACCTGGGGTCTGAGGGAAGAAAAAGAGTCAATGCAGCTTCGACGCTGCGAACGCTTCACTTCAGCATCAGTTACGGTAATCACTCAGGCTTCGGTCAGAAACGCTAACCCAATGGTGATTGCCACGCTTAATCACTTCATTTACTATTAATTCAAACGTTGACACAACCCAATCCTGAAGTAAAATTCTGCATTTAAAAGGAAGATTCTGGTTGCCAAGTAAATTCTTAAAAAGCAAATACAGTATTCGCTTGGTTGGCAATATAATCAACCGCATATCTAGGCAAAACATCAAATGTGTGAAAATTTTCAGTTACGTCTAGGTAAAGAACCTTGTCCTTTACGTCATTCAAGTTTATCGGAGGGATATGGACATCTCGTGGCTTCACCTTTCCCTCAGGCTCAACCTCACGAACCTTGTTGAACGTTTAAGTTAGATAGACAAACTTTGGTAGTTCTCTAAGTGTACCATTTCCTACTACAACTGCACTTACTATCCCTAAAAAAGTTGATTCACAAACGTTGTGTTAATGATCAAGTGACATGAAGCGACTGGGAACTGTATGCAGCCGAAAGTGTACATACTTTCTTCAGAAACTAAATTATTTAATTCCTCGAACCTATATTTCCTCCAAACGAAACATCTATACTTAATCTTTTCCACTATAATTTATTCTGTAATTACTCCTACTACACCAACACCTCCCTGTGCTTATACGGTGCGACAACTTGAATAGATGCGCATATTGGCTACGTTTTACGTTTTTTATGATAGCGTTAAGGTTCATCCTCTGTCATTTATTGCAAAAACAAGCTTGGAATCCTATTTCAAAATAAAGGAGTTCAGTATTGAAACCTTTTGTACTTTAATGACTCCAGTCTCACAAAGATAGTCATACACCGACTGTATATCAAATCCTTGATGCATGAAAAAAAATCAATACTGGTAAAATAATATTGATCATCCTTTCTTATTTTAACGGAGCCTTTCCGTACTCTTCTGTGATCAAGTTGGACCAGTGCATAATGAATCGAAGAACCTCAGCAGTTAGCCATTGCTACTGTTTTAACATTTTACATTAAATAGTTTTGATCCCTCAATATTCCCATACGCAAATCCAATTACTACATTTTTTTAGGTACCGCATTTATTTCTGGATGGCAAACACATAGGAGGAGAACTGGAAATAAAGCGTCTACATGAGAGCGGCGAAATGAGACGAATATTTACGGAAGCAGGTCTTTGAACATTCCTTACAGTCAAAATAACAAACTAAAGAATGGAGAAAGGAACTTATTATTTCTAAACGCTTATGGCTCCATTCATCAAAATGAAGATTGCTACAGAATATATACTACAGTGGAATTGAAGTCATGCTTTATTGATCGTATAAAATGATCCAAAAAGTAATTAATTTCGCTACGGTGTTAACATTATTTAGCAATAAATTAGGTAGGATGTAAGAGAAAAACTATTTAAATTTTGACAACACAAAAGCCATTTTGTGGAAAAGTCGAACATTAACTTTTTACGACCTTTGTGCTGCAATTAGTTAACGTTAATAATTACTGAGCTTGTCGGTTTGCACTTGTCTCAATTATAGGCAAAACAATTTCGACGAGTTCTATATCAGAGACTAATGCTTACTAAACAAACTGTTTAAATATTTATGAATCACTTCAACAGGTATAAAACTAAATTTCAATAAAGTCCATGTACAGTTACGCATTAACATAAACAGATAAGAATCACTATTCTTGGGAAGCAGCTAACATATAAATCCAATGATGTATACATAATTTAACCAGTTGCATTTTGTCTTTTACACAAAGTGAAGTAGTTTATTGTGAACTTCATGATTAAACTTTAAAAATTTTGTAGAGTAATGAAATACTAGAGTGAAGACATGAAGAAAAGTAGGAAATGCGTATGAATCTTGTCTCTTAAATATACAGCGACAGTTTTTAATCATTAACCTCTTCTCGGAGGTAAACCACCACGAATAGATCCAGTCTTTCCTGTAGCACAACTTCTGCTAGTAGGTAGGCTGGAACGCCTGGTGACTCTGGGCGCAGAAGCAACAGGACACCACTTTTTTCTACGAGCTGGTCCACTAGCGCATGTACTATCTGATAAAGTAGACTGTGAAGTAGAGGGGTCGAATGAATCCCAAACGATTGGTTGAATCTTTGGCCGAGCTGTGCTAGACTCACCAGAGCTTGAGGGTTCTAAAATTAACAAGAAAATAGTAGGATCAGAAAAATTGCGACAACTTTTAATGAAAGTAACAATACGTAAAATATAAATCCGCTAACACAATAAAACAAATTTGACAAGTGCTTTCTGAAAGTGAATTAAAAAATTATTAAGGTCTTTAGGAATACAGCGATAGCAATTTAGGAATCACCTTTGGAAGCTGCTACTGAAGTAGAGAATGTAGAAGGTTTGAAAAGCGGTGGAGCGGTGGTTGAGCTTGGAACTGTGTTCACTGGCAAGAATGATTTGAAAAGTCCAGTGCAACTACCAGACGGAAGTCCAGACTCAGTAGTGGTGGTTGAATATGGAACAGTTAGTGAAGAAGGTTTAAAACCGGAAAAAAGACCTGACGAACCCAATAGTGAGCCGGAACATTTGGGTAAACCAGAACTGCTGAAAAGGCTAGGAATAGATGATTCACCAAATAAACCTCTGTTTGAAGAGATGGGTTCCATCTGTACATTCGAAGAAATTGGTGTTTTTTCTGAAACCTGAGTAGTAGAATCACTTTTCTCCGTACTGTTTGCTTCATAATGTAGCTGCCCATCATCTTCACCTAGCTTTTCATTGCTATCATCGACGCCTTCCGATACGTCCACACCTGCAGGAGCAGTGTGTACATTTGCCTCCTCGTTGCCGTAATTGTCCACACCAGAGGAATAATGCTCTTCACCATCAGCATCATGTGGGTGAGTATCGTCAGAGCCACCTTAAAATATCAGATAGAATTGGTAATAAATTTTGATTCAGTATTCACAGCTAACAAGAGATAATGATTATTCTATTTTCATTTAAAATTTATGATTGATTTATGATTAAAAAACATTTTTATCCATATTATAGATACAGTACCTTAACTACGTGATTCCCAGTAAATTAGTAATGAAGGATACGATAAAAAATTATAACTAGACCAGTAAAAGAGAAATATGCTAAATTTGTATAGCACCTATCTAACGTATATGATATAGGCTTACAGAAAAACTATGGCAAGAACATAGTACTTACATCAGCTAAGCGGAAGTCGTAATTAGATATCGCAAAACCTTGTACAGAATGAAAGTCAGTCATATCTGCACCTATTCTGTGATAGCTCTTTAATTTATACTCTCTATATAGATTATTGTGTTAACAACTTGTTTTCGATACAGCTAATAATCTACCGTTTCGTTTTTGTATCTTTCATAAAACGTTTTGAGATTAATTGGGATTAAAAGGTGTTTTCTGTGTGAAATAAGCATTACAAAGTAGTTTTTATTTCATATATTCAATCGTTTACCGAAATCGGAGTCAGATTCAAGACAACTAAAAGTTATATAATGTCGCATAGTGTATCAGTAGTAAGAAAAGCTCCGAGGAATAAATTCAAATTTACAAATGAACTTACTACTCAGTTCAATTACTTCTTCACCTTCCTCCGCTTCTTCTTCATCTTCTGTATATGAATCACAATTAGCTTCATCCTCTCTTTCATATTCATCATAATCTCCTTCTTCCATGTAGTCTTCTTCCTGTTCAACTTCTGCTTCTCCTTCTTTGGGTACAGAAATCTCATTGTAAGCAGTATCAACTGTCTCTTTACAAAAATCCGCTGTGGATTCTGATGGCCTTGAATTTGTAGGAACAGAACTAAACTTATTATCATTATTGTTGTTAGCATCGAATGAATCTTTCGAATCACTTTCAGCGTATTCATCATCCATGGATCCAGATTCATGTTGATCATCATCGTAAAAAGCATCGTTTTCCGAATAACATTCTTGTTCTTCGTCAGAAGACTCGCATACCTCTTCTTGTGTACTTGATGCAGGTTTCATAGGACTAGTTAAATTTTGATCAGATGTTCGAACTTCAGACTCGACAACTCCAATATTCTTAAATACAATCAGTAAAATGAAGGAATATCATCATTAGCTAGCAGTTAACATTGAAAACTACAACTTTGAACACAATAGTAGGGAACTACTCATTTTAACATTAAATATTGACTGCTGAAGTGACCACACCTCTTAGGGGTCAGTCATGCAACAAGGAAGGCTTATTGATCAAATGTTGGTCAGATAGATAACAGTAACCATCGAGTCAGAAAATATTAGTACAACTCTAAGATAAACTCCAATAACACAAACATTATATTTTTATATGATATTTGGTGTTCTCCACTCAGGTGGAGTTAACAAATATTATGGGTTGTAAGATGATTAAACGCTAATTGCTGCACTGAAGATAATCACTTGACATGATGAGTGATTAAACAAAACGTTAGATGCATGTTATACTGAAAATACAATTTATGTAAGACTGATCTGAACTTTGCATTTCCGCTAGATGAGCATGTCATTTTTAATCACTAACTATCTGGTAAACATTTTTAATCGTATTTTGTTGGTGTATGAGAGTTTTTAGTCAACCATAATAACGCAAGCAACAATTTAATTGCATAAGATGTGGTATGAAGACAAAAATTCTAGAACCTGAGAAGAGATCGATCATAGGAATGTTACATCATAAGTTTGTATGATCGAATCTAAAGCTAAATACAAACGAATTGTAATTATTTAATGGCGTTGGTAGGGAAAACAGATACTTAGGAGTGGCATTTTTACTCTTAAGGGATATTCAGTGATGTCGACCTTTAGATTATCTGCAACTAAATAAATTCAGTATACCAGAATACGAAACTCCATGGTTTAATACAGTAATATAAACGTGAAAAGGCAGTAAGGAATATCTATAACAAAACACAATAAGCCAAGCTTACTTCAGTATGATAATCCATTGTAGGTGTATCAGTTTCACCGCTAACATTTTCATGTAGCTCTTGGCCGGTAACAATATCAGATACTGTGGCTTGTTCTATTTCGACATCAGCTTCATTTGATGACTGTTCCACATTTTCTGAGGTTTCAAGTGTTCCAGGAGTTATAATACCAGCCACACCGGTAGCAACTGTCAGTGTACCTAATGTAGAATCCGTAAGGATGAAGAAGTTAACAGTGCGATTAAAATACATTTTATTTTGTTTGATCATAACCACATAACCAGTAAAATTTCCGACTTGTTAAAAACTATGAAAAATTTTAATTAATGATAGTGCTAGTCACGATTTTCAAATAGCCTGGGAAAAGTGAGGATGAAATTAGATGATACCATAAAAATCAATCACTTTTGTTACAATATTTAGATTTTAAGTAATCCTGTTTTTCTAAACTACTGTTTCAAATCAAGGGAAAACATACTTGCAATGTGTGACAAACTTAGATAGTAAGTGTGCTTTTCAATTTTCGGTTAATACTAACCTTTATTCAAAAACTAGAGAAAATTGAATGTAGATAACTAATTGCCAATTAGTATTGTTGTGTCACAGAATTCTTTTGAAGCGTTCATCCTATTCGGTTTAAGTCAAATGATGAAATAGTTAAGGATAACAGACATCATTTAAAATATGTATATATAGTCTCTTAGAAATGTATACATCAATAACTAAATGATACCCTTGTTCTTGACTATTCGCTGGGAAAAATGAAAATGACTGAAAACCTATTGAGAGTAACGATACATGTAACCGACCAAGTGCATCACTTAAAAATTAGGTAAAAAAACTCAATCCTAAGAAACAAACTTCTGACTTACTACTAGGTTCTTGCTGTCCAGCAACTAAGCGAGAAGCAGTTGCGTGTAACGGAGTTGTAGAAGGTACAGTGATACCAAAGGGTGATCTACCTAGAACAATTGGACTAGGACTTGCTTGGGTAAAAGATATTGACGAGCTGGGACCACAAACCACTGCCTGACGTATGCGCTTAGACTCAGATGGAATAGAGCTGGGAGTAAATTGCTGCTGATGAAATTGGTTGGTGGTGATGGTTGATAAAAACGAATTTTCGTTATTTCTAGAAACTTCACTTGTTGAAACGACGTTATCATCCACTGGTGGTATAATATGAAGCATTGAGTCCATATTACTACTCGAACAAGTTTCTTCAAATCGACGTTTTCCCGTTATGCTAACTGTGGTCGAACGAGGTGCCAAACTTGGAACGCTTGAAGAACAAACTGGAGAAGTTGGATGAGAAGAAACTGGTGTTAAGATGCTACTTTGAGGCTGACTAAGGATATTACCTCGGCGTACAAATGCATTTCGCAATAGAGACGCAGCTAGAAACGGAAACAAGTAATATGGAGTTTTCAGCAACAACTTAAGATATATTTATTTTCAGTAGCAAATACATATCAAGTATTTAGCCATTATCCAACTACAATCGAAAAAACACGACAAGAAAAAGTCATCTCTTTAAACGTTGAATGACAGTTAATATCGGAAGCAACAAATTACGTCAAGTATTATCTTCCCTAAATAAAATCAATGTTTTATCAATCGATTAACTAATTAATGTGATTCAATAAGTACGGATTTGTATGCTAGACTTGATGTAAAGGGTTTTTAGATGAAAAAAGTTGTCCTAGGGTCTTTATTATTTGAGGTCCACAAATAATTCATCCATAAGCAATACCAATCAATCATTAGTCATTCAGCTTGTGATTAACTCATTAGATCGATTAATCCAAAAGTGAGTAAATGTTCACAAGATTCCACATACATTTCCTCAAGTTTAACTAATAAAGACGATCAGTGTAAACAGATCTCACAATACTAGTATCAATCACAAAATAATAATCGTTAATCTAGAATATCACATAACAAACAGAAAAAGAACAAGGAAATATAATCTCGGCCATATCTTCCGCCCTCTTTACTTTTGAAAATAAATTCATCATATTAACTGTACATAAAAACATACCAGTCTGATCGCAAGACGTAAATAGCGATGAGCTGATACCCACGGTTGTATCAGATACAGGTGAACAGATTGCAATACTTGACGGCCCACAAGTAGGGACATTTTCTGACTGAACACTTGTTATCACTATCGGAACTAAATCATTGAAATAAAAAAACGGTGTAGGAATAGACTTTTTGAAACAATAGAAACGAATAAAAACAAGAAATGATAAAAGTCAAACAACACTACCTGATGATGGTGCTGGGGTTGGCATGACAGCAGCTACATTACTTGTGATAGGTCTGATTTCTGCTGTCTGTTTAGGACCAGCAAGTGAATTAGGTGGAGTAATAGCAGGTGTTGGGTGGACCGGTTGTACAGTGGCTCCAGTACGCATAACCCAAGCAGGAATTGATTGAGATACAGTAGAACTTGCAGTTTCCGTACAACTACCATCAGTTATGTTCAAACAAGTGGGAGTTTCAAAATGTAATTGATTTCCTGTGACTTGATTTGTTGGGGAAGCACCTAAACCCAAAGTCCGTGGTACAAACGTATGCATTGTCTGAACACCATCTTGCGATTCAGATTCCTGGAACTAAACAGAGTTACTATTAGTTTTGAATCATACTTTTTCAAAAAATTAATGATAAGCAAACCAAACCAAAAAAACAACTACAATAAGAGAATAAAAAGTTGAATTAACCATAAAAAACATTCTTGAAGAATATCTGTTAACCAGATGATTATCTCAAAAACAGATAACAAGGAAGTCAACCATCGTATTGCATAAACAAGTAATGATCTATGCTCTTCTAACTAAATTACTTATACTATATATTGTAGAGTACGGATAACGAATATTTTGGAATGAAGTGAATTCATCCCCTTGCATATTGAACCAAAAAATAACTTGTTTATAATTCAAGACTTACAGTTGATGGTGCAGGAGATGGGGCTCCACTGGTCTGCAAACTTACTGACACAGTTTGAGGATGAGTGCTACTTGACTGAAGCTCAATTAAGCGAGCACGAAGCTCTGTACAATCTTTTTGAGATTTCGTCAGTTGAGATTCTATCAGTTGAGTTCGTAATAAACGTTCTTTTTGAGAATCTGAATGCTGTTGTAACCGATCGATTTCATTACATAAACCTGACAAAAGACGACGAAATTCATTCACCAATTTTTGACCATCAGACATATTGGAATCGATTTCAATATCTGATCCTTCAACAGATGAATTCATAATTGCTATAACTGATTCTCTAGACTAAACATAATTTTAGAAAAAAATATATAATAATTTTAAAAATCAACAAATAATTCTGGTGGTATATTAATAATAATCATAGAAAATAAAACCTCTGAATACCAAACCAAAACAATTCAGAACTTTATGGCAGGTAGGTGGGAAAAAGTATCGTCTATCTCACCTTTATTTCATCTAAAAACTGAAGAGCTTCTGTTACACTTGCTTCCAAGATGCTATATTCAGTACGTAAAGAAGAATAGTCAGAACGTAAAGTAACCAAATCCGCTCGAGCCTCAGTTAATGCTTCATTTGTAGTCTGAAGTTGAGCTTCTGTAATATATATAAAAAAAACACTCAGTCAAGTATTAATTAATTGATTAATAGTAAATAATGTGTAATATTCGCGAGAATAATTAAGAGGTAACAGCTTTATCTTATCTTTAGCCATTAATCATCATTACACATAGATATTTTTAACCAAAATTAATTTCCCTTACAAGATTTTACACCGTTGAAGATTTTAAAAAACTGTCAACTTGGTCACACTCTTGGGGGCATCAATAAATTCACATGATTTAGTTAAGCGTTTGATGGAGTTAGATTAAATCAAAAGACAACTTTCATTACTGACTAACATTATTGAAAATCAAGGTGCACTGAACAGATTTGTCACTTTCGTTTCCAATTAAATCATTTGTGATAGCCCACAACCTTAAAGAAGATTGAGCACAAAGCTATTCCTGAGCAGAATAGCTTTTAATCAGTGAGCTAGAATTCAAAAGTTCACATTTTTTAACTTCAGTTAGTCAACAAAAAACCTTACTTGCGAGTTTATAACTATATCATTATTTTCGTTATTAGTCTATCATAAATAATGTAGATCATCGCACATTTATCCATCGGGGCAAGTTGCCCCAATATATAGGTATATCGAGATAAGATCAATCACATGAATATCAAAGTAGCAGAAGTAATAAAGGTAATAAAAATTCAAACATAAAGATGTTTGGAGAAGAAGAAATTCGAGGAATTAAGTACATAAAACAATTTTCAAAGCCAGAATAAATGTATCTGTTTTATTGTGACCGCTTCTAAACGATATAATCCAATGGTTGAATATATTTCTCTATTTAGGATAACGATGTATCCAACTGCATTGTAGACGCAGTTAACTAGATCGAAGTAGTTCGTAGAATTTAAGACTCATACTTCTCAAATTTTGAAAAGATCTTTTCACATAAGACAAACTAACCAGAACATCAGTTAGTTGTGGTTCAGTTTCTGCACGAAAAATAAAAATTTTCATTCCATTCTTTTATGTAATCAGTTGACCACAAAGCCTGCCAATAAATTTGTGACCGACTTCATAAACAAAGGAGTAATTTGTTCCAAAACTAATGAACCATAGGTTACATGTTTTACAATTTCATGATCAGTAGGTTACTAAATCAAGCAACTTACAAAAATCAATAATGGACAAACAAAGAAATACAATAATATCAAATCTGATATAAAAGTTTGCTTCAATTTACAAAATCGTTTCATATGAACAGAAAATGCTAGCTTAGTGATTTAGAGGTTGAGTGTTCGCTCACAAGACTGAAGGTCGTGGGGTTTGACTCCCGCAAGCGAGGGTCGTGGATGTGCACTGCTGAAGAGACCCATTCTAGGACGAAATGGCCATCCTGTGCTACCAGGTTTCTGATGGTAGTCTAACAATGATTGGTCTATACTTTTAATGAAACTCCAAAACTCTCTAATGAAGAACCGAAAATCAATAAAAGTACAAAAATAACTAAATAAGAGGCAAGATATGTGTGTAATCAAAGGAAAAACAAATAAAATATTGAAAACTCATAATAATAATAATAATAATAGTAATAATAATAAAAAAGAAATAATACTGACCATCTGATCTGCTATCATTGAGTTTTCGTCGTAATACTTCGGTTTCTTGACGATATTTTCGTCCGATTTCACGAAGTTTCATTATTGTTGTCTCTTTTGCACTTAAATCCTCTTTTAATAAATTTTCTTGAACACTAAGAAAAACAAAAATGAGAATCGATAGAAAACTTTGTTGCAAAAGAAAATAATGTGCAATATTGGGGAAAATGATAAATATAACAGTAATTTTGATAAAAATTTGAAAACTCATTTTGTCGTTTTTTGTAACTGATTACATGATGTTATCATGAATGGATATTTCCAGTCACGTTTAACACAGAGTTTATAATTAAAGGATAAAAAGAAATTACATATAATACCTTAAAGATACATTATTATTTTTTATCTTTATAATTAGATAAGGAGAAACAATGCAACAATCAAAGAGAATTACCTGAACGAAGAAATTTTCTGTTCAGCTTCCTGGCATGAAGTACGCATACTTTCTAAAAGATCATTCAGTTTGTTTATTTTATCATCTGATTCATTTTTTAAATCGCATAGTTTATTAGCATTATTTTGAACTTCTTCTTCAGCTCGATTTAATTTACGTTGTAATTCATCACGTTCATTACTGTTAAATCAATAAGAAAAAATTTAAATAATTAACTAGCCTACTTCAGAAAACAAGTGAACTGTGTTAGAATAGTTTTGATCAATAAAAACATTTCATACAGATACTAATTTGTTTCAGGTTAGAAATTTTGTCAGAAGAATATATATATGTGAAGTAGATTTGAATTTACGAATTCGAGTATAACTTCATGAATGAGATGATACAATATTTATGGTCTGTCCAGCTTGCACTATTTCACCAAATAATTGTAAGGCAACCAATGTTTCGCTCAAAAACGAGTTATGATCTCTTGTATAATAAGAGTTCTGTGAATTTATGAAATATTCTATTAAATGCTATGAATGTTTCGCAAAACTTAACATTTAGCAGTAAATTTATAAGTGAATAAAAATTTTCAAAAAATTTATCACATTCTTCATCTCAAGTGAAAAGACAGCACGTATAATTTAACAACTAGAAAATGATATCTGGTAATCTCATGACACGGTTGACAAATTCAATCAGACTGAGACTATTTATTTATACCTCTCTGATGAAAAAGACAAATGCAAGCTGAAGTAGTATATTTGATGATTTAAACTTATGATTTCCACTATATATATAACTAACCATGCAAGTCTATATTGTTCAGGATCCATGCGTTGAGCTGTTTCTACTAACCGACTACACCGTTCCTTCCAACGATCACGTTCTTCTTCAAGGGATCGTTTATCAGACATTAAAACATCTTTTTGAGCAATCAAATCGCTATTGGATTGTTTCAACGGGCCAACTTCATTGTTCAACTTTGTAAGCTAGGAAAGGAGAAATTAAAAAGTTGATAACACTTGGTATCTTTTAGGAATCTCAATGATATATATATATATAGGTTCAGTATTTCTTACAGAAGTGATAACTTATATTTACATAACTTATATTTACATACATAATCACTTAACTAGAAGTTCGATTAACATAAATGTATCAGTTATGAGTGCAAAATTATTACCACCGTTAATTCAATTATTTAAGTATTTGACCAAAGCAGTTGAGAAGTCATACGAGGTTTCACACAGCCGAATTCATATAACACACTTTTGTTTGTACAATATAATAGAAAATATTAGAAAGACTAAGAACTCATTGTAACGAATGTTGCTGTCAATATTAGCAAGAACTAACCTGATTTTCTGCATCTGATAACTTTGATCGCAAAACCTCTCTTTCATGCCTCAGTAATCGATTAGATTCAGTTACCAAATTCAACTGTTCAACACGTTCCATAACTTCAGAATGTTTGCGAGCGGTTTCCATAGCTAATTCAGCAGCTTTACGTTCGTTATCGATCTGAGATTGTAACTTTTCTTTTTGTGATTCCAAACTAGACACCCGTAATAATAATCGGGATACTTCAGCACTAGCAGCTTCATGAGCAACATCTGCCATGTTTTTCTGACGCCGAAGGTAACTACAGAAAATAGTAAAATTGTGAGGTGATTTGGTTACTTTTAACACACCTAAGATTAAAAAAACAAGCTGGATTTTAAATTTTTGACAAATAAAATCTGACAAAATTAATTGACCATCAATAACGTACCCAATAACTTGTAATAATTCCTCAGAGGTTTTTATATCTGAATTAATTGACTCTGTGTCTTGAGTAGAACTCATACTATCTTCTGCAGAAACATTAGATTTATCCAAAGATTTTCTCAATGAAACCATTTGTTGTGTGAGCTGAAATTTAAAAATGAAATTTGATGATATAGTTTAAACATAATAGTTGTCGTTCGAGAGCGTACAGATTGTTCTAAGGATAAATTTTTTTCCGGATCTATGATTTCAAATAATAACTCACAGCTTAAAAATCTAACAAAGCTAAAGACGGTTATTGTGAAGACATGGGTGCTAAAGACAGTAGGTATAAGATATATTAGTGATTCGGTAACTAGCAACTGAACTTTGTGACAGTTAAGGTTAAAGTACTTGTTGAAGAAATAAAATCACTAAATCCTCCTCACAAATACAACCTACATTTCCTACTTATTTCAAATTCATCAATGAAGGCACCTCCACCACTGCCAACGATAACGAACTATGTCACCCCAATTCTCGAGCCATTAGTTACGACACGACAACTGGCACAAGACTGTGAATTTGATACATGCAAAATTCCTTGATATCAGCACCCGAAAAGAGGTAAGACAACTAAACAAAGTTGTTAACTAACTTAAACTAAAATGAAATATGGGTCTGTTGCGATTGATAATAATCATGAAAGAAGTATGCATGTAAACAGCTGTAAACAATGTTTTAAAAAATATTTCTATTAAAAAGGAAAGACAAGAGTATCTAGCTAGTATGTCATGATTTGAAAACATAGTAGGCCATACTAACTTGAATTATTTGATCTTGCAACAAATTCTGTTCTTCTTGACTTTGTTTCAATTGACTATTCAACTCTTGCTTCTCTGAATCCCATAATTCCAACTGGGTTTTTAAATCAGTCATTGCAGTTTCTGCTTTTGATTTGAATTCATTTAATTCTTGCTGTAGTTCACTGGAATGCATTTTCAAAGAATCTAACTGTGAACGTGCTGATGTCAACAGCTGAAAATTATTATGGTATGATTAGTTACAATGTGTTGAAACAAAAAAGTTTAGTAAAAACAAACGCATTCAATGTGTACAATAGGGATACATATACATTATAACTAAGCTAATAGGTATGATTCAACACAGTACCAATAGAATGATAAGTTTTATGCTGTTTCAAACATATATTCTATATTAAATAACCTATTATTGCAATATAGTCAAGATAGGACTGCTCTACCAGTCGAAATGATATTTACCGGCATATGAGAAAATCCTATTTCAATTAGCTGTGGAACTAATAAGATCTAAGTCCATCAAAGGGAGAGCATATTGGGCAATCTGATCTGTTTTACACTGCGGTTGCGAAGGAACTTAAAAGTTTAGTACATTTTCAGTTTAACAATACTTGACTATGAGTATTTTCGCAGCATCAGGACCATGTGCTACAACAAATGAGTAACAACGCTAAGGTCAGACGTAGGGTACTCAGTAAAGATGACATAGGTAAGTAATATATTGAATCTGCATCAATTGACACAGCTGGGCCATTCATTAGAAATATTCTATAAAGAGTTACCTGGACGTGTAATCCCGTTTGACGTGAGAGTACATTAGGAGGGAACTACAGGCAGCTACAATGTAACACCGATCTGTGAAGTCATTAACTGTTAATTTGAACTGAGTTAGTAAGTGTGCACTACTTAGTAGAGATCAATGCAATAATCGTGATTCATCACAGTGACACATATACTACTATTTTTGTATACTTCTAGATCCTGAGTCTCAACACTATTTCATTCCCTTTATTCTTCAAATTATTTTCCTCTTCTGGAAATACATACTTCAACTGTAGTAGTTTTTTACTATCATTGATATTACTACTATTGATTCAACTGTTTTGGTACTTATTACAGTTTTATCTATAACTGTGTTTCCATGGTGTAGCAACCTGGGTAGTAACTTGGACTTCAAGTCGACTAGGGCTGATACGAAAATAGTCAGTAGCCCAGAATTTAATGTTAAGTTAACTAGGTTATCAAACTGAATTACTTAGTAGAAAATATTGGGAGCATTTAAAATCGGTTTTTCATTTTAGACTTATGGAAACTGTTGTTTTACATTGAAATCGTGAATCAATCATTGTCAGACCACCATCGGAAACCTGGAAGCACTGGACGGCCGTTTCGTCCTAGTATCGGACTCTTCAGCAGTTCGGATACAATAGTGTCAGAGAGTAAGTAATACAACAGTGAGGCTCATGTCGAAGAAAAATGGTTCAAAAAGGAAACGAAATCCTGTATATTTTGCATTGTTTTAGAACCTTCCTTAAACGCAGAACAGATAACTCCTATCCTAAAGCATATCAATTTCCCAAACTTGATTCATGAACTAAAGGGAAAATTCTCACCAGAGACTAGAATGATAAATTTGTGCCTTACATATTTATTAATAATTGGAATGCTAGAATGAGTGTTTTGGATATCTTTCATTTGCTGAAAGTTATATCACAACGAATGCACCAATTTTCTAAAAATATATATGATCTACAAGTCTGGGTTTCCTTCGAGCTTTAAAAGTGATTTTCAAAAACCAACTAGTTAATACCCAATGAAAGTTGCAACAAATGTAATTTATCATATGACTAGTGATGCTTACTTCCACATCTTGTGCATGTAATGTCAATTCACGTTCATATTTATCACGAGCCTCTTGTGCAGCCTGTTGATGAGATTCTATTTCAGCTTTAGCACCAGCCTCAACTTCCAGGGCCGATTCATACCGAGTTCTGGAGCTTTCCAATTCATTCTGTAGGTTAGCCAATTCCCGATGTAAATTTGCATTCTAGTTTAAAATGGAATAAAATATAAGCTACTGTACAATGATTAGAAATGATATAATGAAGAATTGTTAGGTTATAAAGAGAAATTTTTAGGACGTTTATGAGTATTTACTCGAATACTACTAGAATAAGTATTAAGGTGAATACAATTTCATACTTGCAGAATCATTAACCCTTAATAACAATTAACCCTTAATCCGCTTCCCGTGTCCTCGATGGTGTAGGTATAGCATTGAGTCTTAGAGCAGAGCTAGCTCTAGAGAACGCGTAATTGTTTGTGGCTTACTGGACGCAGGAAAGACACCGCCAGAAAATACCTTAGGGTTCCACATAATTATAGCATAACGCAAAATGTTTCAAGAAAAGCTAGAAAAACAGTAAAGCCGCCATGATGAGCATTCCCACCCCGAGACAACATGGAACGCTATCCGAAAAGCCGCATGAACATCAGTAACATCTGCTAGTAAGGTAAACCATACGGTTAGGGAGAAGCAGTGGATCTCAGTAGAATCTGTATAACCGTTAGATGGAAGGAAATTCATCCCGTTTAGCTCTGAACATGACGAAGAGAGAAGTCAGCTTAAGCACAGGCCGATAAAAAGCCTACGCAATGGTCGAAAACAGTGGTGGGTAGTGAAAACGAAAGCGATAGAAAAGGCAGTAATGATATGTGACAGTAGACAACTGTCCAGACTTATCAGGGACACTGCTACTAGGGATCTATCTGTTAGTGAAAGGATAGTCGTACTGCTCATTCTCAAACCAGGAGATTGGATTGATGGATAGAACACTTTCAGGGTCAATCCGACTGGTCCCCAACCACACTTCAGTTGCCCACGATCTCCAGTCAACCTGAATGTCAAATTGATGAAACTCCTCCGACTCTTAATGAAACGCTATTGGAAATCTAAAGCGAGAGAGAGCAGCACGCCCTCTGAAATTTTTAACGATGGTAGTCCAGTCCTAGCAGTTAGATTGACTGAAACCTTAGTTAGAATCTGGGGAGAGGAAGTTATCCCATCTGGCTGGTTGCAATCTATAAAAACGACAAAAGCCCTCCTCTGACAATCACAGGAACCAGTTTGACTAATATAGTGTCCAGGATATTAGCTGCAATAATACCTCGAAGCTTATCTAGAGCTCGTGAAGAGCAAACTAGAGAAAACCGGGCTGGTTTCAGACCTGGATGTGGTTGTAGAGACCAGATGTTCACACGACGACACATCTTAGAACATAGACACACTCTTCGATGTCCGACAAAAGTTGTATTCCTTGACCTTAAAGCGGCATTCGACTATGTCGATCGTGAAGTTCTGTGACAGGGCCTATCATTAAAAGGTGTACCAAAGAAGTACACTAACCTTATACAAGCTCTCTACTCGAACACTACTGGTCGAGTCAAAGCTTATGACGAACTGTCATCGCAATTCATTACTTCGAGTAGTGTTCGTCATGGTTGTCTTCTTCCTGCATTCTTGTTAAGCTTTGTCATAGACGTGCCTTTAAAGATAACATTATCTTCGTCTGAACTTCCAGGAGATTCAGTGGTTGACTTAGGGTATGCCGATAACATAGTTCTATTTGGTGAAGACGCTGACAAATTGCAGTCTTCTGACAACCCTAAGCAACGATGCAAGCATGTTCGGGATGCGGTTCTCACCCTCGAGATGCAAAATGTCGCTTCAAGACTGGGTTTAATCGGCACCTGAACTAGTGAGAGGGAGTGAAGTAGTCAAGCATGTAGACCGCTTCACTTATCTGGGGAGTCTCATCAGTGCCGATGACCTGGTGTGTGACGAAGTCTCAGCACGGATACAGAAACCTCGATTGGCTTTTGCCAACTTGTGTCACTTATGGCGTGGGCGAAATATTCGTCTGCTAACCAAAGGACGAGTCCACTGTGCAGTAATTCGCTCCGTTCTACTATATGGCTGTGAAACATGGCCAGTGAGAGTAGAAGATATTCGTAGGTTGCTTGTTTTCTATCATAGTGTCTCCAAAGCATTGCTCGTGCATCGTGGAACAACTAAGTGAGCAATGATTTTGTTAGGAAACGAGTGGTAGGTAAGGATTGCAGATCAATATACGAAGTATTGAAACTTCATCAGTTGAGGTGGTTGGGACATGTGTTGCGTATGCCTGACCACCGACTGCCTCCACAAACAATGTTTTGTGGTGTAGGAGTAGGTTGGAAGAAAGTTAGGCATGGCCAGACCAAAACATGGAATAATGCACTACGTATTGGATTGTACAAAAGAACTTATTATACAATTATGTATAGATGTTTGAACGCAATTCATATTTATGAAGGCAGCATGCATAGTTGAAAGAGAAAACAGAGTTAACATTGTGTTATATAATTGGAGATGAAAATTCGCTCAAATATCTTGGATCATTCTGTCAGAATCACAGAAGGGTGTACAAAGTAAACAGACATTGCTTTTTCTGGTTTTAGGAGTTTAAAATTAACTATAGTTTTCTATCAGTATAGTTTTTATCGGATTCTGTTTCACGAAATGAACTAATATATACACATTCTAATCCTATCTTATGCAGTTAACCAATTTCCTTCACTAGTAAACGGTATAATTCTACTACACCTGATAGATTGAGCTTATTAACATTATTGTAGAGAAAAGTAATAAAGAAACATACCAGCTTATGAGCTTCTTCTGTAGTTCGTATATTTTCATTTACAAGATTTTGACGTTCCTTTCTTTCTAAATCTAGTTGTGTCTCTAAAAACTCACAACCTGAAAATTAAGTATTGAATTAAAGACAGGATTGTAAAACAGATACAATTGTCAAAACCTGTTAAAAACTAACAGCAAAACATGAAAAATGAAGACTGATACATGAAAAAGTCAAAACTTGACAATGTAAATTTGGTTAATATGTATATCTCAATAATTATTAGAAAGGAAGTAATAACTAGTGTATAAAATAACTAACCGTAATCCATTAACAGTTATTTTTTTCTTTATTTAAAGACAAATATTGGTACAAAGAGTTACCTGAGTATTTATGCACCAAACAAATCAATGAATTTGTGAGTGAACTGGGAGACTTACTACATGGACGACCAAACCGAAGCAAGTGGGCTACACTCCAAGCATTTGACTCGAAACTCTAACCCACGAGATGATGGAGCAACGTCAAGTGCAGTTTTGTGATAGCCGGTGACCAATAGTAGGTTCATACGCCATTCATTAAGTTAGGATCTTAGAGCGCATGTACACCACTGGTTTGGAATTAGTTTTCCAAATCTCATAGGTGAATCCTCTGTGCCCGCCAACCTGATTGAAACACCAGGCACTCGCTTTTCTTCCTCTCGATTTCGTAAAAAACACCACCACGAGAACGCATTGAGTAGGACTTTCCTAGTACTGGCTATTTACGAATGGCCATATAAGAGCACAAGAATGAACTCTCCTCACTCTCTGCATTACCAGGATAGTTGCGGGTTCTAATATTTTCCAGTGTATTACTTCATAAATCTAAATCTTGATTTCTACTTTTATCAATACAAACCGATTGTTAATAATCACATTTAGCACCATATTTTTCGAAATGTGTTGAAATCACACATCAAAGAAGGTATTGCCTATGGATATCATTAGTTATATGTATAGTTGTATACCGACCAAATGGTGCTATTAAGTTTACCAAAATACATTGTTTTATGGAATTTTAAGCAAAATATATTATACTAAACATATCAATTAATCGACACAAATAAGAGAATAAATACTTCAAGAGTGATAAATAAACACAGGTCAAAAACTGCCGACTAAACTTACGCTGTTTAGTCTCACACATGTCACGAGAAAAGTGCTCTTCCAGTCGTTTATTCTCGTCTACGATTTCATTGAGGCGCTCTTCAGCTTGTTCAGCCAGTATTTTCATTCGATCAGACTGTTGTCGAGATGACTCCAAACTGGATTTAAGAGTCTCAATTTCATGTTCCAGTTCCCGAATGCGCATTTGAGCAGTTTTTGAACACTCAGGTGATTCAGTTACATTCGGTTCCATATTATCGTCTGCTACGGTAAAATAGAAAATGATTAGCTAGAATTGTGAACTTTAAAAGTGGCATGACAGTGAAAAACTAATCATTAGTAGACAACAGCGTAGATAGAAATAAATCACATTTCTCGTGAACTCATTCGTTTAACAACAGTTTAGAATTCGAGTGGATCGTAGAATCATCTAATTCTGAGATTTAATCCAAAATAATAGGTGTGAAGTGAATATAGTGCAACTTGATTCATCGTTTTATTCATTAAGTTAAAACGGTTACGAAGAGGTTTAAGGGAATCCCGAAATTTCTACAAAAGCTAACCCGTCAACTGAAACATAGATACTTTACAAGTGTTGAAAAGATAAAGTGAGCTACAAAACAGCTGGTCAGCGCAGAGTTACTTATCCCTGTTACTCCTCGTGGAACATAAGTAACCGACCAACTCTATCTTCTCAATTGCTATCCATTCTTCTGTGGTATGCCTCCGATTTCAAATGCAATAAGATTTTGGTCGGCCTCTTTTCCACCTCACGTGCTCTTCTTCAAATTCTTCTTCAAATGGAAGCTGATCTGTTCCCTGTCACAGTAGGTTGTTGCGGATGGTGGCATAGAAGACTGTTAATAAGCTTCTGTATCTTTTAGATGGTGGCTTTTGTAGTTCTCCAAGTTTCACCTTCATACAATAGAACTGTCGTGACGTTTGGATTGAAAATTGAGCGAATACACAAATCTTTAGTCAGCTACAACGCAGAACTTTGTACGTACGTACGAGTTGCCACACCAGATTAGCGGTATCAAGCAGCTCTCCACTAGTCTTAGAAATGCAATGAGCAAAATAAATCACAACTTAGTTTTAATTTTAAAAAGACTTAAAAAACACTGAATTATACAAATTCATAATCCATATAATAACTGTGATCAAAAACCTTTAAGCCTTACTAGCCTTTCTAATATGAAAAAGCATTGCAGTAGGGAAGAACGCTAGAATAATTGATGGGAATCACAAGCCTTACAGTGATACACAAATATATATATATATATATATATATATATATATATACATAAATACCGTTAATGTAATATGGTATTATCTGATCTGAACCATGGTTGTACGAACAAGCTTATTTCAGTTACATACCGTGGGATTTAACGGCTGCCAATCTTTCCTCTAAATCCCGTATCCGGGTATTTAGTTGTTGAATTTCTCTGCTACTAGACTCCACGGACTCACGAGAGAGTGCTAGCTCGTGCTGCAAAGTTTGTTGAGCTGTTTGAGAGACCTTGGAGGCATCAATAAGAGCTGTATTGGCAGCAGATAGTTGCTTCTCCAATTGTTCAATTTTTCGTTGACTAGATGAACGATCCATTGACTCCCTTTGTTCGAGACTTCCCTAGTAAAGAGAAGAAAATGTTAGATAGAGTAAAATAATTACAACTTAATAATAATATGGAAAATTATGGGAACATAGTAGAAAAAATTGTAAACTGTAAAAGCCTTATAAACTACCTGTATCGACTGGAGTTGATGCATGAGCTGAGAATGAATTTGATCATGGCGGCGTAACGAATCGATTTCTTGTTTAAGACGAGTCTCATTAGCTCTCACCACTTCCAGCTGTCGTGAAAAATGTCTTGCATCCACTTCTGCTGTAGTCAGGCGATCAGATGCATGGGTTAACTCGTCTCTAAGTCTTGATAACTCCGCTTCACTAGTGGCTGCAGAAGTTGAGTAACGAGCATTCATTTCACGAAGGATAGTGATTTCTTGTTTATACCCAGCAACATTAGCTTCTGATGCACGCAGCTTTTCGTGAGTGAAGTCAAGCTGCAAAAAACGTAAACAGTATTAAATACAACTCAACAAATTATACAACACTGATTGGTTTTATTGTCATAACCGGAAGTCTAATACATGAACTATGTAAACAACCTTATGCTAAAACTAAACCTTATGTCAGCATTTGACCATTATGAATCGCTTACGATTTACCTTTGTTTCAATTAATGACAATCTGATGTATTCAGTCGTAGACAGCCAAGTTTCAACAATAAAGATCTGTATCAAAACCAAATCTCCACGCTTATCAAACAATAAATAGACTGATATCTTAAATAACGCCACAGATGGTGTTCTAACAAGACTGCACAGTTAATACAATTAGGGTTTATGATTGACCTATATAAACCATTTAACACCTTTAAGGTAAAAAAGTAAAACCACTGAGTCAAATGCCGCCTTAAAGTCCAGGAAAACAACTATTGTAGGACGCCTAAATGTGTGTCTGTGTTCCAGGGCCTGTCGTAGTGTGAAAATGTGGTCTATACAACCACGTCCAGGTCGAAAACCAGCCTGGTTTTCTCTAGTCTGCTCTTCACGAGCTTTCATTAAGCGTCGAAGTATTATTGAGGCCAATATTTTGGAAGCTATATTAGTTAGACTTATTCCCCTGTGATTGTCACAAGAAGACTTGTGTCCTTTCTTATAAATTGGGACAATCATTGATTGAGACCACTCGGATGGGATTACGTCCAGTTCCCAGATTCTACCTAAGATCTCAGTCAACCTAGCTGCTAAAACTGGACCACCGTCCTTAAATATCTCAGGGGTCAGTCTATCAGAACCTACAGCTCGCCCTCGTTTCAGATTTCCTGACGCTTTCTCAAGTTCGTAAAGACTAGGGGGACGTACGTCGATTTGCCATTCAGGATGACTGGAGATCGTGGGTAACCGAAGAGTGGCTCGAAGCCAGTTGAACTTATCCCTGAAGTGTTCTGCTCATCGGCCCAGTCTCCTGGATTGAGAATGGCCATCCTTTTCCGAAATAGTCCCACTCACATTTGGGTTCCTAATGCCAGTTTCCTTGATGAGTCTGAATTGTTGCCTACTGTTGCCTATCGCCGCTACCTTTTCCATCTCTCTCGCTTTCTCCACCCACCACTGTTCTAGATCATAGTTTGAAAGTAATTACCTAATCACCTGTAAAAAAATAATAAAAATCTGCCTTGTTGGAAAGTATGATTATTTGATAGGTGCATAAATTGTCTTATATATATTTACTAACTTGTGAGCTGAGCTTCTGATTTAACAATCGAGCCTCGTTATATTCTCTCCGTAGATTATCAACTGTAGTAGTATATACATTATCTGACTCTAACTTATCCTCCCGATAGCGTGCAAATTCAGCATGTAACGAACTCAAAGCACTTTCCAGACGCTCAACAACAGCAGTGGATCCATTACTGGGAGGAGAACCTTTACCTATTCAAAAGATTTAAAAACATCATGTTGGCAAGTTCTGTCAAAACAACTCTGATATACATAAAAAGTAATACTACTTGCAAGCGCGGATCATTTGGAAAAAACTTTTTTAAGTATAGAAATGACAATTGCAAACATTATGAAGACCTACTTGGAGTTCTATTATTGATCACACAGCGACTCAGCGGATTACTATCATCTAGAACAGATTCTTGACTTTGAGCAGAACTAACTTCTTCTTTATCAGATATGTCTATGTCATATTTTCTCAGTAAAGCACGGTATTGGTCACGCTGCTGAGAGAACATATTTGCCTCTGTTCGTGCTTCACGAGCAGCTAAACGTACAACGTCTAGTTCCCCAGATAAAGTTTCGACACGACAGGACAGCTCAGAAATACGCTTGACTGTGTTCGAATCTTCTTGCTCGTGTTTTTCTAGCTGAGCAGCCAAATCACGAGCAACACAAAGCAATCGCTGATTTTGAGATTGTAGCTCATCTAAGTTCCTCCACGTGACAAGATGATCATCAATAATTGTTGCAGAGGAGGCTAAATTTTCCAGCATGCTTGAAACATCACTTATATCCATTGAGCTATCTGGAACTGGCTGAGTGTCAAGCAAGTTTGGATCTCTTGTGTCTGACTTGGAACAAAATTCTCCTTCATTTCGAATGACAGTCCCCCTAGACACTTCAACTTCGTACAGTAGAGACTGAACCTATTGAGAATTCATGCAAAAAGTCACGTTTAGAGATCACTTAAACCAAAAATAAATGCATAATTAAGATGCGATATATATATATATATACATATATATATATATATATATATATATATATATATATATATATAAGATTGGTTAGTGGCTGAAGAATTTCTATTACTATATAACTGAGTAAATAATTTGATCACTGTTTGTAAATCTTCCACGGAAAAATACATTATGTTTTCGGCTGCAAAGAATCAAACGAAACCGACCGTGGCTGCCACCTTGACGTGGTGATCAGGCTTGTCTATCGTGATGACCCAACCGAGCTTTACGGACTCGAACATATGTTCCTGAAGGTTCTACCATACTAGGCAGGTCGATTGGAGAACGATTAGACTAGAAGTAGCTACCCAAGGTCTGAGGGCGAAATCGTACTGCTGACTGCAGAGAGGCGTGACAGCAGTAAGGTGTTTCCCTCGGACAACCAGCATCTGCAGCGATGCTGCCTTCTCACAAGGAACGAAGGGTTAGAAAAGGTCGACCCTAAAAATGTCACACCTCATCCTACCTCACAGATTTCCGTCTCTGGCGGTAAAGGTACCCACTAAGGGCTTTTAAGAGCGGAGCTAATACTCAAAAACCTTTTCATCAAAAGGCTGTACGTGACCGGCCTCAAGCAATTGTCCCCCGGGATCTGCGGTCACGCTCCCAGGTCTCTAAGACCAACACTAATCTACCTCCCTTTTCAGGTCCCTCAAGAAACAACCTTCCAAGGTGTGGGCAGCCGAGAAGTGACAACCGCCCTCATAACCGTTACAATACGAGAGACGAAATTGATCAAGATCAAGTCCTTCTAACATGAAACCTACCACAATAGTACATTGATTCGAGTGGCCATAAACGGCAATAACAATGAAAGAGAACTGACACTAAGAACAAAACTAAAATAAGCCAATACTACAATAGTTCTGTGTATATTAGATCTTATCACTGGTATCGATCATATGTTATGTTACCCAATGATAAGTCCCGTTCCGTGTAATGATTCCACCTATGTGAAGTTTTCCACACCGCACTTTAACTTTTTATACCTATAACATACTCAACTCTATAAGGCCTAGATTACACTAATTTTATAGCCAAAATATATAAATCGCAACTGACTTAGATTCTCTGTACAGTCCCATTTTTAAAGCCTATCATCTTAAACTAGTGAGCATAGGATGAGGCTTGGGTGGGTCCAGGAATTCATTGAAATTTAGAATATTTCTGCACTTCACCCCACAGATTTGAGTGAGAAATTAGGCTTCATAGATATTCACCGGTAGTCTAAAAACATGATCGGAAAATATATTAAGACTTCCTTTATATTTTCTGAAAACTGCTCTTACTCATCTATGTGAAACTATAGCAACTGATTACTGAGAATTCCCCAGTCGGAAATTGAACCGCCGTGTGCTGTTCTTTAGAAAGTCACGCAGCAGACGTACATCTGTGGTTACATTTTAGAAATCTAATATCTACGGACGTTTACACTGAAGTAAAATGACCTGAACTGCCAAACTCCTGTTTGCTTGGGAATTGCCACATATTTCGTTTATAATACCAAGAGTTTGTAAACTTCTGTTAAGTTGTAGGTTTAATGATACGTAAGCAATGAATAAGGCGTATAAAAACAGGGTCATCCACTTACCTGTTTAGACAGATCTGAGCAAGTTTGTTTAAGTCTACAGGTTTCTCGATGATAAAATCCAGCACGTCGCTCACTCTCTCGCTTTTGTGACTGCATTTCTTCTAACTTCTTTGAAGCGCATTGATAACAAGACGTAAGCTCTTTCAATTCCATTTGTAATTTTCGATACTCCTCTTGTTGGTTACGTAGGAGAGGGGCTATAGTAATAAAATGGAGGCAAATCTAGAGAGGCGAATCTAGAAAGGCAAATCACTGAAAAAACTATAGTGTAAGACAGTGAACAACGTAAATAACAAAATAAACTACCACGTTCGTGATGTTTGTCACATGTGTGAGGTCCTAGTTTAGTGAGTCTGGTCAGTCAGTCAGTTGCAACGTAGAACTTCGTACGTATGTACATAAGTTCATGTTGCCATACCACATTAGCACAGAGACGCAAATGTCAAATCAAATCCCATAGTGATAGAGATAGCAGACGTATTAATGGTAATGAAGAAGACTAGGGTTTGAAGATATTATTCAAGAAGTTTAATTCAGTGAGATAAGGTTAGAAAGACAAAGGTAGAGGTGCTGACGAATCCAGATGATTACGATTTGAGAGAGCACAACGAATGGATGCACTTGCGCCATTGCAAACGATTTTGAGCCATGCCGTTCAAGGTCTCTAACCATTGGTGACTATAGTCTCGCGGACCCCAACAAGGTAGTCTACATCTACCAACATGACTCAGTCCACTTGTCAGTGACTTCATGGATTTCTGCCATGTTTTGGTCTGGCCGCCCCTAGCTTTCTTCCAACTTACTCCTACACCACAAAACATAGCTCGTCGAGGCAGTCGGCGGTCAGGCATTCGTAGCACATGTCCCAACCCTAGTGAGTTGTTTACGACACCACTGACTGACTGATTAATTAATCTACTTCTGATGTGACTGGTAGTCCAGTGGTAAACGAAGTTTTGAAGACATCCAGTAGTGACCATATGCAAATCTCACCATGTACCGTAAAACACGGTAAGCAGTTATACAGTGCAGTACAATACACAAGAGAGGAATTACCGAAGTAAACTGATCAAGACCCATGTTTGACGGTCACATCCTAATCTCTATTTCGATTACATGGGTGCCTGAATAGCTGTTAAAACCTAGAAGAACTGTTTATCGTGTTTGCTATGGCAAGCTGACGGAAACTTCGTCTTATTAGGAAGTGTCACACTGGAGTTGGTAACCAAATGTTATGAAAGCATGATTCTTCTACTTCTATTCCATTAAATGAGTATGTGTTCGAGCTATTTTTAGATTCCCGAGATCTAAATGTCGAAAGCTAGCCTTATTAACTTCTCCTAAATTTAACCAGGAGAACATGATTTACGAGGCTATGATTTGTAAACATTATTGCCCCGACCGTAGCTGCCACCTTGACGTGGTGATCAGGCTTGTCTATCGTGATGACCCAACCGAGCTTTACGGACTCGAACATATGTTCCTGAAGGTTCTACCATACTAGGCAGGTCGATTGGAGAACGATTAGACTAGAAGTAGCTACCCAAGGTCTGAGGGCGAAATCGTACTGCTGACTGCAGAGAGGTGTGACAGCAGTAAGGTGTTTCCCTCGGACAACTAGCATCTGCAGCGATGCTGCCTTCTCACAAGGAACGAAGGGTTAGAAAAGGTCGACCCTAAAAATGTCACAACACGGATTCCCGTCTCCGGTGGTAAGGGTGTCCACTAAGGGCTTTTTAACTACCTGTTGAAGCATTTAATGTACGGACATTGTGTCAAATAGAGCAACAGGCTTCCTTAGCTAGAACATTAGAATCTCGCTCAATTGATGTATGCTACGTCTCGGAAACGCGTATACAGGATCCTAGTAAAATCATTAATTTGATTTCACCTTGTCAAAATAAGGAACCAACACGATTTACTATTCTTGTTTCTGGAATCCCTGATGCTGCTTCGCGGCGTCTCGCTGGTGTAGGTATAGTACTGAGTCGTAGGGCAGAACTAGCTCTCCTAGACTGGATCCCAGTAGTTAGTCACTCGTGCGCCGTCCGACTGAACGGGACAGTAAGGACTCGGAAAGATAGGGAAACTCGACGTTGCCTCTTCGTCGTATCTGCTTACGCCCCGACTGACTGCAGCTCAGACGATGTGAAAGATGAGTTCTACAGAAAGCCTTCGCACCTCCGAAAAGTTAGGCACTCTGATACAGTAATAATGGCTGGTGACTTCAATGCTCAAGTATGTAGACTAAGTGAAAATGAAAGACACCTAGGTGGATATTATGGTGTCGCGCCTCAGAGAACTGACCATGGCAACCGTCTGCTGCGAATATGCTCGGATAACCGCCTACTTCTAGCAAACACCAACTTTAAGCATAAGGAAAAACATCTGTTGACCTGGCGAACCCCGAAGTCGTCTCAACGTTGGACACAACTAGATCACATCGCCATCAACCACCGATGGAAGGGTTCGATAGAGGACTATCGCTGGTTATGGCGCACATGTTTAGATTCAGATCATGCCCTAGTGTGACAGCGTATTTGTTAGAGGCTTACTGAACGTAGGAAAGACACCGCAAGGAAGCCTCTTAGGGTTTTACTTAATGATAATCAAACTAAGAAAATATTTCAGGAGCAACTAGGAGGAGAGTTAAGCAACGATGTAAGTGATTTCCATCCAGGTTGGTATGATATCAAAAATGCTGTGGAAACAGCAGTGATATCTTCTAGTAAGGTAAACCATAAGCCTAGGATGAAGCCGTGGATCTCAGTAGCATCCAAAGAACTGATAGAGGCTCGAAGACTCATCCCACCTGGCTGGTCTTATTATCCATTTTCAATTCAGGAGACTGGACCGATGGGCAGAACACTTTAGGGATCAGTTCAACTGGCCTCGAGCCACTACTCGGTTACCCACGATATCCAGTCATCCTGAATGGCAAATCGACGTAAGTCCCCCTAGTCTTTACGAAGTTGAGAAAGCGTTAGGAAATCTGAAAGAGGGCGAGCTGTAGGACCTGATAGACTGACCCCTGAGATATTTAAGGATGGTGGTCCAGTTTTAGCAGCTAGATTGACTGAGATCTTAGGTAGAATCTGGGTACTGGACGTGATCCCATTCGATTGGTCTCAATCACTGATTGTCCCAATCTATAAGAAAGGACACAAGTTTTCTTGTGACAATCACAGGGGAATAAGTCTAACTAATATAGCTTCCAAAGTATTGGCCTCAGTAATACTTCGACGTTTAATCAAAGCTCGTGAAGAGCAGACTAGAGAAAACCAATCTGGTTTTCGACCTGGACGTGGTTGTATAGACCACATTTTCACACTACGACCGGTCCTGGAACACAGACACACATTTAGGCGTCCTACAATAGTTGTTTTCCTGGACCTTAAGGCGGCATTTGACTCATCGAAATGCAAAATGTTGCATCAAGATTGGGTTGCATCTGCACCTCCATTAGTGATAGGAAGTGAAGCAGTTAGGCATGTTGACCGCTTCATTTGGGAGTCTCGTCAGTGCTGATGGCCTGATGACTGAGGAAATCTCAACATGGATACAGAAAGCTCGACTGGCTTTTGCCAACTTGTGTCACTTACGGCGCAGGCGAAATATCCACTTATTAACCAAAGGACGAGTGTACTGTGCAGCAGTTCGCTCTGTCCTACTATACGGATGCGAAACATCACCGTTAAGAATAGAGTACATTCGTAGGTTACTAGTCTTCGATCATAGGTTTATGAAGCATTGCTCGTGTATCCTGGGACAACCGACTGACCAATGCTATCGTTAGGAAACGAGTTCTAGGTAAGGATGGCAAATCAATAAATGAAGCATTGAAACTTCATCAGTTGAGGTGGTTGGGACATGTGTTACGTATGCCTAACCACCGACTGCCTCGACGAGCTATGTTTTGTGGTGTAGGAGTAGGTTGGAAGAAAGCTAGGGGCGGCCAGACCAAAACATGGCACAAATCCATGAAGTCACTGACAAGTGGACTGAGTCATGTTAGTAGATGTAGGCTATCTGGTTGGGGTCCGCGAGACGAAAGTCACCGATGGTTAGAGACCTTGAACGACATGGCTCAAAATCGTTTACAATGGCGCAGGTGCATCCACTCTTTGTGTTCTCTCTAATTCTAACCTTCTGAATTCCTCATAATCTCTATCTTCATTCTTCTAAATTTATCTCACTGAATTATACTTCTCGAATCATATCTTCGCTCCCTAATCTTCTCCATTACTGCTAATAATTCTACTATCGCTATCACTCTTGGATTGGAACCGACAGTTACGTCTCTGTGCTGACGTGGTATGGCAGTCAGTCAGTCAGTTGCAACGGAGAACTTCGTACGTATGTACATAAGTTCATGTTGCCATACCACATTATTAGCACAGAGATGCAAATGTCAAATCAAATCCCATAGTGATAAAGATAGTAGAGGTATTAATGTTATAATAAAGAAGACTAGGGTTTAAGATATTATTCAAAAAATATAATTCAGTGAGATAAGGTTAGAAAGACAAAGGTAGAGGTGCTGGCTAATCCAGAAGATTAGGATTTGAGAGAGCTCAAAGAGTGGATGCACCTGCGCCATTGCAAACGATTTTGAGCCATGTCGTTCAAGGTCTCTAACCATTGATGACTTTCGTCTCGCGGACCCCAACCAGGTAGTCTACATCTACCAACATGACTCAGTCCACTTGTCAGGGACTTCATGGATTTCTGCCATGTTTTGGTCTGGCCGCCCCTAGCTTTCTTCCAACCTACTCCTACACCACAAAACATAGCTCGTCGAGGCAGTCGGTGGTTAGGCATACGTAACACATGTCCCAACCACCTCAACTGATGAAGTTTCACCACTTCATCGATTGATCTGCCATCCTTACCTAGTACTCGTTTCCTAACGACAGCATTGCTTACTCGGCTGTCCCACGATATACGAGCAATGCTTCTTAAACATCTATGATCGAATACTAGTAACCTACGAACATCTTCTACTCTTAACGGCCATGTTTCACAGCCATATAAGAGAACGGAACGAACTGCTGCGCAGTACACCCGCCCTTTGGTTAGCGAACGGATATCACGCCTACGCCATAAGTGACGCAGGTTGGCAAAAGCCAATCGAGCTTTCTGTATCCGTACTGAGATTTCGTCAGTCACCAGACCGTCAGCACTGATGAGACTCCCCAGATAAGTGAAGTGATCTACACGCTCGACTACTTCACTCCCTATCACTAGTTCAGGTGCCAATGCAACCCAGTCTTGAAGCAACATTTTGCATTTCGAGGGGGAAAACCGCATCCCGAACATGCTCGCATTGTTGCTTATGGTAGTCAGAAGACTCTGCATTTTGTCAGCGTCTTCACCGAATAGAACTATGTCATCGGCATATTCTAGATCAGTAAGCGACTTTCCTGGTAGAAGGTCAACCCCTGAAAAATCTGACGAGCTTAATGTTAACTCTAAGAGGATGTCTACGACAAAGTTGAACAAGAATGGAGAGAGTGGACATCCCTGACGGACACCACTTGATGTAGAGAATTCAGATGACAGTTCGCCATATGCTCTCACCCGACCAGTGGTGTTCGAGTAGAGTGCTTGTATAAGGTTAATGTACTTCTTTGGTACACCTTTCAATGACAGACACTGCCACAGAACCTCACGATCCACTGAGTCGAATGCCGCCTTAAGGTCCAGGAACACGACTATTGTCGGACGTCTAAATGTGTGTCTGTGTTCCAGGACCTGTCGTAGTGTGAAGATGTGGTCTATACAACCACGTCCAGGTCGAAAACCAGCCTGGTTTTCTCGAGTCTGCTCTTCGCGAGCTCTAGTTAGACGTCTAAGTATAATCGAGGCTAACAATTTAGAAACTATATTAGTTAAACTTATTCCCCTGTGATTGTCACAAGAGGACTTCTGTCCTTTCTTGTAGATTGGGACAATTAGTGACTGAGACCAGTCAGATGGGATTACGTCCATTTCCCAGATTCTACCTAGGATCTCGGTCAGTTTAACCGTTAAAACTGGACCACCATACTTAAACATCTCAGGGGTAAGCCTATCGGGACCTGCCGCTCTACCTCTCCTTAGATTTCCTATAGCTTTCTCAACTTCATGTAAACTGGGAGGACTTAAATCGATTTGCCATTCAGGATGACTGGAGATCGTGGGCAACCGAAGTGTGGCTGAAGGCCAGTTGAACTGATCTCTAAAGTGTTCTGCCCATCGGTCCAGCCTCCTAGATTGAGAATGGATAATAAGACCATCCTTTTCCGAGATAGTCTCACTTACATTCGGGTTCCTAATACCGGTTTCTTTGATAAGGCGGAAAAGTTGTCTGGTGTTGCCAATCGCCGCTGCCTTCTCCATCGCTTTTGCTTTCGCCACCCACCACTGTTCACGGTCGTTACGTAGGCTTTTTATAAGTCTGCGCCTAAGCTGACTTCGTTCTTCATCATGTTCAGTGCCTGGTGGGATGCGTTTTCGAGCATACATCAGTTCGGTGGATGCGACTGAAATCCACGGCTTCATCCTAGCCTTATGGTTTACCTTGCTAGCAGATATCACTGCTGTTTCCACAGCCTTCTTTATATCATTCCAACCTGCCTCCGGATGGGAATCACTTGCATGATCGCCTAACTGTTTTTCTAGTTCCTCCTGAAATATTTTCTTAGCTTGATTATCATCAAGTAAAGCCCTAAGAGGCTTCCTTACGGTGTCTTTCCTACGTCCAGCAAGCCTCAAACAAATACGTGCTCGCACTAGGGCATGATCTGAATCTAAACATGTGCCCCAGAACGAGCGACAGTCCTCTATCGAACCCCTCCATCGGTGGCTGATGGCGATATGATCTAGTTGTGTCCAACGTTGAGACGCCTTCGGGGGTCGCCAGGTCAAAAGGTGTTTTTCCTTATGCTTAAAATTAGTGTTTGCTAGAAATAGTTGGTTATCTGAGCATAGTTGCAACAGACGGTCGCCATTGTCTGTTCTTTGAGCCGCGAGACCGTAACATCCACCTAGGTGTCTTTCATTTTCACTTAGTCTACCTACTTGTGCATTGAAGTCACCAGCCATTATAACTATATCAGAGCGCTTAACTTTTTGGAGGAGGTCCGAAAGCTTTCTGTAAAACTCATCTTTTACATCATCTGGGCTGCAGTCAGTGGGGGCGTAGGCTGATATGACGAAGAGGCAACGGCGAGTGTCCCTATCTTTCCGAGTCCTTACTGTCCCGTTCAGTCGGACGGCGCACAAGCGACTATCTACAGGGATCCAGTCAAGGAGAGATTGTTCTGCCCTACGACTCAATGCTATACCTACACCGGCGAGGCCCCTAGAAGCAGCATCAGGGCTACCGGATACACGAAGGGTAAATCGAGCTGCTTCTTTATCTTGACATGGTGAGGTCAAATGAGTGATGCTACTCGGATCCTGTATGCGCGTTTCCGAGACGCAGCACACATCGATGGAACGAGATTCTAAAGTCCTAGCTAATGATGCCTGTTACCCTATTTGACACAATGTCCGTACATTGAATGCTCCAACATGTAGTTTGGAACGGGGTTTAAGGAGACCAGGAACGACGTTTCGCAAACTCGCATCGTTTGCATTAGCTGTGCACTGTAATAAATGAATGTGAGAAGAGTTAGTTGTGGAGATAAGAGAGGTATTAGGGAATGTAGGAAGGATTTGATTTTGAACAATTTTGTCTCGTGTGCTGTTGCGGGTATGAGGGCGGTTATCACTTCCCGGCTGCCCACACCGTGGAAGGTTGTTTCTTGACGAACCTGAAAAGGAAGATGGATTAGTGTTGGTGCGTGACCGCAGAGTCCAAGGGACAACTGCTTCAGGCCGGTCACGCACGGCCTTTTTATGAGAGGTATTTAGAGGATTAGCTCCGTTCTTAAAGGCCCTTAGTGGGCACCCTTACCCAAGGAGACGGAAATCCGTGAGGTAGGGGAGGTGTGACATTTTTAGGGCCGACCTTTTCTAACCCTTCCTTCCTTGTGAGAAGGCAGCATCGCTGCAGATGCTGGTTGTCCGAGGGAAACACCTTACTGCTGTCACACCCCTTCACAGTCAGCAGTACGACTTCGCCCTCAGACCTTGGGTAGCTGCTTTTAGTCTCATCGTTCTCCAATCGACCTGCCTGGCATGGTAGGACCTGCAGGAACATGTGTTCCAGCCAGTATAGCTCGGTTGGGTCATCACGATAGGCAAGCCCGACCACCACGTCAAGGTAGCAGCTTCGGGGTATGGCAACCTGAACTGATGCGCATACGTACGAAGTTCTGTGTTGTATCTGTCTGTCTGTCTATCTAGTGAAGTTTCGGCTACCAGATAGTATCAATAACCCTTAAACGATGTAGCTCTTAATTGAGTACCTGGTGAGGCAAACTCATTTAATTCTATTTTATTTAAATAAAAACAAATGACACAAATATATGTTATATTCAACTTTGCGACACTTAAACAGGAACTTATATGTGACTCACAACTATAAAGCTTTAGATTATCCGTTAAAAAATATTAGAGATGGTCAGATTCTAAATAATGATGAATATATATTAGATATAAAGAACTAAATACAGTGAGACTTCGAGCAATAGATTATAAGATACTAAGGGTGACGTTTATGACACATTATTAGTTTCTAGTACTTCTAAGAATATTTACTTTGATAAAATGATTAAAAATAAACTTATCCTCCGTCAAAAAAATTCACTAAATGATATTTCCTGGCTCTTTGAAATCTAGCTGCTCATTGGAAACAGGTAGTCCACTATTTTAAACATGGAAACGTTTTATTCTCTGGAACAGTTTGAAATATCAGGGCGGAACTTATACAGAGACCACAGTCGGTACTTTTAAATACAACCATGAACAAGATGGTAACGGTAAGTGACCAACATTCCTTTCCATTTTAATCAAGTTGGCAGAAAGCTAAGGGAAGTCAGAGCAGGATGCTGTACCAGTTTACGAAATAGATGACCATTAATTTGAGTCGTTTGGAAAGATGTAGATTTGCTCGTTAGAGTCCATACGTAACAGTATTTATTCTTCCCCCAAATATTGTTTTAATATTATCGTATACTTAATGTTCCTTCATTTTACTCCTTTTTTCAAACTTTGATCTTCATATTAATTTTCTTAATAACTTTGATATTACCACTATTCTAACCTGAAGAATTAGTTTGAAATTTTACCAGACAAGATTTTTTATCGTTGTTCCTGACTAACAAAAGTTTCAGTCAATTACAACGTAGAAATTCGTTTGTACGTACATCAGTTTAAGTTACCATATAACATTAGCACAGAGACGCAATTATCAATTCAAATTCCATAGTCGTAGAGGTAGTAGAAGTATTAGCAGTAATCAAAAATATATATGATCGAATATATCATTTGAGATGCATACCCCAGAGAAATCAATTTAAAAAAGGGAAAAAACGGTTTATGATTCATAAACAAATAAGCAAACATAAAACTGTGAAAATGATGTACATACTGAGTTGTACCTATCATAGAGTAACTCAAGATATACCTAGAATGGCATGCTGACCAGAATAAAAGATACCTTTTTCTTTGAGCTCATCGACCATTTGTTCCACATACTCCGTCAGTCGTTGTTTATCAAGTTTCAGCTGATCCCGATCTTCAACAAGTTGAATATAATCCGTATACAATTGTGTTAAACTATGTCCACGCTTTAAGGCGCTCAATGTAGCAGCCACAGATGGGTTAAGCTGGCGTAATTCTTCCTCAGATAGACCTAAAAATGTAAACCGTGTAATTATTAGTATATTGTAGTGAAAAGGCCGTAATCACAGAAAACATCACATAATTATGATAGACTTCTTGAACGACAAAGATGATTCATTAAGAGAAAATGAATTTGAAACGTTAAACTCAGGTCGTTTTCGAGTGTTTGATAAAAACGTCTACTTCTAAATTATGCGAAAAAAATAGAGTTAAAAACTCAGCCTAGGACCCTTCTAGGGTAACTGTCGGTCCCAAGCCAGGATAAAGGAGGGCTGTGCATGACGTTAGAGACCCCATCCTAGAGAAATACAACTCGCTAAAAAATCATTTGCTGGTCCGTGGCCTATGATCTATGAGGAGTAACAATTGTCAGTGCAGACGTATCCGGTCTTTATGTTCTACCAAATTCTAATCTGAATTCCTCATCACCTTCATCTTTCTCTTCTCAAACTTATTTCACTAGATTACACTCCTTGAATAACATCTAACCCTAATCTTTCCGATTACTGCTCATAGTTCTACTACCTCTACGAGTATAAATTTGAATTGATAATTGCGTCTCTGTGTTAATGTGGTATGATAACTTGGACTAGTGTACGTACGTAAGTACAAAGTTCCACGTTGTTGCTAACTGGCAGATACCATCATCATCATCAACAACAACGTAGAACTTTGCACCTAGGTACAACAGTTCAAGCTGCCATACCACGTTAGCACAGAGAAGCAATTGTCAATTCAAATCCCATAGTAGTAGAGATAGTAGAAGTATTAGAAGTAATCGGAGAGAATAGGGTTCGAAGATATTATTCAAGAAGGATAATTCAGTGAGGTAAATTTAGAAAGAGAAATACAGAGGTGATGAAGAATTCAGAAGGTAAGGATTTGAGAGAACACAATGAATGGATGCACCTGCGCCAATGCAAACGATTCTGAGACATGTCATTTAAAGTCTCTAACCATCGGTGACTTACGTCTCGCGGGCCCCAACCAGGTAGTCGAACCCTATCGACATGACTAAGTCCACTTGTCAGTGACCTCATGGATTTCTGCCATGTTTTGGTTTGGCCGCCCACAACTTTCTCCCATCCTACTCCTACACCACAAAACAAAGCTCGTCGAGGTAGTCGGTGGTCAGGCATACGCAACACATCTCCCAACCACCTCAACTGATGAAGTTTCAATACTTCGTATATTGATCTGCCATCCTTTCCTACAACTCGTTTCCTAATAGTAGCATTGCTCACTCGGTTGTCCCACGATACTCAAGCAATGCTTCGGAGACACTATGATCGAAAACAAGCAACCTACGAATATCTTCTACTCTGACTGCACAGTAGAGTCGTCCTTTGGTTAACAGACGAATATTTCGCCCACGCCATAAGTGACACAAGTTGGCAAAAGCCAATCGAGCTTTCTATATCCGTGCTGAGATTTCGTCACACACCAGGTCATCAGCGCTGATGAGACTCCCGAGATAAGTGAAGCGCTCGACACGCTCAACAACTTCACTCCCTCTCACTAGTTCAGGTGCAGATGCAACCCAACCTGAAGCGACATTTTGCATCTCGAGGGTGAGAACAACATCCCGAACATGCTTGCATTGTTACTTAGGGTAGTCAGAAGACTGCATTTTGTCAGTGTCTTCACCAAATAGAACTATCTCATCGGCACATCCTAAGTCAACCACTGAACCTCCTGGTAGAAGGTCCACTCCTGAAAAATCTGACGAGGATAATGTTAACTCTGGAAGGTTGTCTACGACAAAGTTAAACGAGAATGGAAAAGAAGGACATCCCTGATGGACACCACTTGAAGTAATCAATCAACAGTTCGCCATAAGCTCTCACTCGACCAGTGGTGTTCGAGTAGAGAGCTTGTATAAGGTTAAAGAGTGAAAGAACAGTAATAAATACCATCTTTACTAGTGTCTCAACTATTAATTATAGTAATACTGACTGAAGTTAGACCCACCATCCACTCTGAACTTATCTAGAAGATGCTGACTCCTTTCCAGTTCCGAAGCAAGATTTTCAGTGGTTGTTTGTAGTTTAGAGTTTGCTTCACTATATTTTGCCTTTAGAGAGGAGTTTTCGGACTCTAATCTGGACACATCTACATGAAAATAGAAGTGAAATAATCTAATCTACTTTCATAAGCGTCTTTTAAGAGGCCTTGGATGGATGAAGCAGCATTACTAAGCTCTTCATTCTTCTCTTCTAGTTCCTTTACTTGTTCCTTAATTTTTGGTATTAGCTAAAAGCAAATACTTACCTTAAATAATTTTATAAGTTGTTTTTGGGCCTCGAGTTCATTTCCATACAACTGCTCCATTTTTATTTGTTCATCAGTAACCTGAAAAATTTAACGATAAGCAAGACTTACCAGTTTCAGTTTAACAATGTATTCTTCGTTTGTCTGAGTAAGTTTCTGGACGTTTTCTTCCAGTCTTTCAACACACTGCTTGGAGTTCGCCAGCTAAAACACCATTAGCACGACTTATAAACCTACTTCAACATTACGAAGGCCAAGTTCAGACTCAAGAGAATATGACTTTTGGTACTGCGAAAATGTTATTTGAACCTAGGTCTTACCGAATCTCTCCGAACTGTTAGTAACTGGTCAGTTGTCTGTTGGAGACGTTCTTCTAACCAGTTATTATGTCGCTGTAAGTTGGATAGTTCGTCTGACCAGCGAGCTTCTTGAGCCTAAATATGAAGCTTTTAGAGGTTGAAACGAATACTTTTATCGATATCTCCCGCCCAGTAATATCCTCCGACTTTAACATCATTTCTATTTTTAATTTACGGACATCTTCAGCCTCTGAACGCAGAGTGCTAATATCAGAGTTGAGAGAGTCAATCAACTCGAGTTTGCTTTTTAGTTGATCTGACAGAATTTCCTTCTCATTTTCCAGTCCACGGATAGCGAAATTGAGCTCATTATTAACAGATAAACAGTCATTTAATTTTGTGCGGAAGTCCTCCTTTTCAGAATTTACATTATGAAGTTTCTCCTCTAACGCGTAAAGTGCATTATTGCAACTTCTTAGCTTTTCCTCTAAATCTTCAGAAACTGACTTTAGTTTAGACTGCTCTTCAGCATTTTGTAACACGGTATTCTCTAAAACGTAATAAAGCAATTACATACTTGTACCTTGAGCTTTTTGGAGTTTTTCGAGTTCCTCTTTAACCACTTTAGCCTCGTGGAAGATGTTATCAAACGCAATGTTAAGTTTAGTGACCAGTTCAGGGTTAACTAATCCTAATTCCTCTTCAGTAACCCCGCCATATCTGCAAAGACTTTCGAACTCCATCAACCTGCACAACACAAATATGCCACTCAGTCCCAAGGTTATATCTTCACTATCCAATATCCAATATCTTTTTCACGAGCTAGTGTAAACCAATTTGATTTCTTCGCGCTCGATTCTTGTTCTTTCGGTACGGTTCCAGGTGTTCGGTAATGTCCAATGGATGGAGGTCTAGCCACTCGACTGTCTAATTCTAGTCAGTTGGCAGTAGGTTGTGAGTTTGTATGTCTCGGGATTTGAATGAAACGTTTGTTTCAGGGTAGTAGGGTTTCTGGATACTAGCAGCCGTCACATTACCAAACCGGAGATCAGTTAGTTGCAATGTGGAGAGTAATAAGGGTAATAAGGATAAATTAAAATGATAATATGAGTAAAATTTCAGAACTGAGTAATATATAGATGAATTTAGTTTATTAATTGGTAGTGAAGATTGTGAGAGAGGACCGAAGTGTAAGCAAGGGAGAGGAATAGGCGAGATAGATTAATTGAGTAATCTGAGGAGATGGCAATGGTAACAACTAGCAGGTCTCAAGATATGCATCAGGCAAAGCTTGTCCAAGAGGGAGATGATAGTCGGTATATGAGTAAGTGATTATCAAGTCTCTTCTTAAAGCAGTCCACTGAGGAGGCTGTAACTACCTCAGCTGGGAGAGCATTCCAAGTCGCGACGACTCGCAATGAGAAAAAGTGTGCACGAATCTGAGTATTTGTGTGGTAATTAGAAGTATATGTATCAAGAATTAAAGATCTGCACAAACGAATGTATTGTATTTAGAATTCGAAATCAAGCATTCCACAACAACAAGAAGTTACTAGTTCATTCAAACACCACATCCGCCACAGCTTAAATTGGAATGTATATGTCTGTAATCAATTGTACGTCTTCTTCTCAAATTCATCCTGTGTCTGTCCGACAGTGTATTGGATAAAGGCTCTGTATTATCTAGAATGCTCTCATTAGTATTAGAATTAACAACCGAAATTGGAACAGACTCACCTGGTTCCTGGAATTGTATTTGACCAACATGTCGATTTTGTGTACTTAAGTCATTGATATCTAGAAGTCGCACCATAGATTTCCCGACATTCTTCAGAACAATCCCCGTGGATGGTCGAAGATCATTGCCACGATAATATGTAACTTCTGCAGACTCCAAACATCTCGTATTCGACGAAGAATTCTTCCTTTTAATAGTTTTGATGGAGTCTCTTTCGTCACTGAATGTCTGGCATTTCTATATTGCAGTAGAAAGGTATCTACTCCCCTCTCCAGCTCATTAAATGTTGAGGCGGCAATAGAATCAATAGCAGTTTTCAACGTCCTGACAAAATTTTCTGCCTGACCATTAGAACAAGGATGTCTGGGAGCAGTAAACAGATGTTTGCACCCTATACCATTTAACCAGGTAGTAACTGCATCTGCAGCAAAATGAGAGCCGTTATCAGTCACTAACACCATTGGAACCCCTTCTCGACTAAACACCTTTCTTAATGCTTGAATTGTGAAGTCAGAATTCGGTGAAGTTGTCAAAAAAACTTCAGGCCACTTTGAAAAAGAATCAATTGCTACAAGTGCATAGTATTTGCCAAGAAACGGGCCACAGTAGTCTGCATAAATTCTCTGCCAGGCTTCCGACGATACTGGCCATGGAGTCCACTTCGAATGCTGATTTTTCAGCTTATGACACTTTTCGCAATTGTTTGCTGTACGACAAATATCTGCATTTATCTCTGGCCACCAACACGTGAGCAACGCCAAGGACTTTATTTTCTCAACACCTAAATGTCCACTATGAAGATCTTCCAGGACAGCTTTACGCAATGAGGGAGGAATAACAACCCGATCATTTAAGCACAAAATACCATCAGGAGTAATGGATAGCTCATCTCGCTTTGAAAAATAGATAGGGAATCTGCGTTTCAGATTAGCATTCCAACCTTTCCGTATAGCATTAATTATACATCCAAAGTTTCTACGAGTTTCTCTAATGAGATCTGGACGTTTCACTGGTAAAGGTTGCACCAACAAACAGTCTGAAGTATTAATAGGTTTATCTTGTAATGACTGTCGAGAAATGTAGTCAACATGTTGAATTTGTTTGGCACTCCTGTGCTGAACCGTATAGTCGTAGGCACTCAAAGCAATACTCCATCGTTGAACCATAGCAGCTGAGGCACGTGCTAAGGATTTTTCAGGATGATAAATAAACTGCAAAGCCTCATGATCAGTAACAATAGTAAATTTCTTTCCGAATAAATATTTATGCAGTCTTTTAACAGCCCAAAACACAGCTAATGTCTCTCGCTGAGTCTGTGAATAGCCTTGTTCAGTAACAGCAAGTTTGCGTGAAACACAAATAACTGGTCTACCTTCCTGTTCTAAAACTGCACCAATACCCACAGGTGATGCATCAGTGATAAGCACAGACTGTACACTAGGGGAGTAAGTTCGAAGAACAGCATCACTTTGAAGAAACTTTAGTAGACTACGTAAGCACGACTCTTGTTCCTCACCCCATTTGAATGAATTGGATGTCAAAATATTAAATAAACAATTTGCACGACAAGAAAAATTAGGAATAAAACGGTAATAGTACTGAAGAGCACCCACTAGTGAACGTAGTTCCGTAAGATTTTTCGGAGACGGTGCATTTGTCAGTGGAGCTAGTCGTTTCATATCTGGTCTAAAACCATTACCATCAACTAGGTATCCAAGACATTCAAAACTAGATACACCAAATGAACACTTATTTGGATTTACTGTAATATTCTTCTCAATTAAACGATGCAATAAAGCAATAAGTCTCTGGTCATGAGCTCCCTGATCAGCACCATGAACAATCAGATCATCTTGATAAACTCCAACACCTTCAAGATCACTAACCACCTTATTCATAACTTCCTGGAATATGGCTGGAGAACAACTTAGCCCAAATGGAAGGAAATTGTATTTAAACAGACCAAAAGGAGTATTAATTGTCGTCAAAATAGATGAGGATTGATCTAAAGGGATTTGAAGATAAGCATCTTTTAGGTCAACTTTCGAGAACACTTTAGAACCATGAAGTCGATTTAGGATATCTTCAGCCTCTACCGTCGTGCATGTTTGCTTCAATAAACGGGAGTTCAAGGTTAGTCTATAGTCACCACATATCCTAGGAGTCTTGCCATCCGATTTCAGTGGCGTAACAATAGGAGTACCCCATGCTGAAGACTGAACAGGTTCAATTACACCTTTTGTACACAAATCATTCAAAGTCTTATGCACTGCATCTCGAAGACCGTAAGGAATTATTCGTCTTTTGAGAAAGACTGGTTCACCCTGTACTTGAAGTTTTATAGGCTGGATTTTCATACCTCCACTGCACTTAGCACACGTGGCTATCAAATCTTTAAGTAAAGCATCAGAATTTTCTTTAGAAACTAGGAAAGACAACTCCACTTTGAGCCTTTTCAAATTCTTTAAACCCAGTATTGACAGTCCCGTTTCGCTAACTAAGAATTCACATGGTATGTATGAGGAATTATCATCTCTTATTAGCAATTCACAACATCCTCGTATAGGCAGTCTGTGTCCAGTAATCCCCAATATTGATACATCAGTGGGTCGTATCACAACGTTCGGATCTAACGATTTCAAGTTCTTGAATGAAATAATGGACTCTATACTGCCTGTGTCCACAATAAAGTCATGAAATGAACCAAGTGATGTATATAGTCGCTTTTGAATATGAGCATTACCTTTCGAAATGGTAGTTAAAGATAAATGATCATTAGGATCAGCTGAATTATTGGGATCTAAATTACAAGATTTAGTACTACTTGAGGCAAAATGAACAGTAGCTTTGCATACTGCTTGAATGTGTCCTATCTTACCACATCTAAAACATTTAGCATTACGAAATGTACAATAATAACGAGAATGAAGTTTTCCACATGATAAACATTTGCCAAACTTGGTCTCACCTTTTTGATTTCCTTTGTAATTCTTTTTTGAAACACCGTTCATTTTTACACGAGAATAGGAACCTCTGTTAAACGAACACAATTTTGATTGACCCTGAGATTGCTTTTCATCATGACAACTAATCAAAGTATTGGAAATCTTCATCGACTGAATATCAAGTTCATTCAACGCCTCGTAGTTAATGCACGCAGTTCTAACATCTTGAAAGGAACAGTTTGACATTCTTAACAGCTCTCTTTCCAAACTAGGTATGTTAATTCCTGCAATTAATCGGTCTCTCAGCTGCACATTAAGTTGATCACCAAAATTACATTTGACAGCCTGTTTCTGCAATTCAAGAATGAATTCCTTAACATTTTGGTCATTTTGACGAATCATCTTATGAAATTTCGCTCTTTCACGGCATTCAAAACCGGAGCACTTTACAGGATTCAATAATAACTCCTTTAGCATTGCATAGGGAAGTGAAATAGGTTTTTCTGGATATGCCAAGGTTTTCAATAAGCTGTACGCTTCTTTTCCGATGAATGTTAGGAAATGAGCCACAATTTTATCATCTTTGACATCTTTCCTGGTCATACTCCAGATTTCAAACCTTTCCAAATAATCTTCAAAAGCTTCAGAAGTAGAATGAATATCTAGCTGTTCCATTACAAGTTCCATCGCGACGCCAGTGTGGTAATTAGAAGTATATGTATCTAGAATTAAAGATATGCACAAACGAATGTATTGTATTTAGAATTCGAAATCAAGCATTCCACAACAACAAGAAGTTACTAGTTCATTCAAACACCACAATTTGCTCTTTGATGTGCAATCTTTCGAGGATCGCCTCGATGGGAGTGGTGGTGATGCATCGGTAAGATGCTCACGTTGGGATGGTTTGGCGATATACAATATCTTTTTCACGTGCTTGTATAAGCCAGTTGGTTTCCTTGTGCTCGCTTCCTGTTCTTTAGGTACAGTTCCAAGTAGTGTCCAATGAATGCTAGTCTATACACTCGACTGCGCTAATTCTAGCCAGTAGGTAGTTCAC